CCAGGAACGAGATATGATGAACGCTATTGCAATAAATATAAACAATCCGGTCGCTTTTCCGTTAATGTTTGGGGGTGGGTTAGCAGCAGAGGACGTGGAATTTGCGCAATAGTAGAAGAAAGATTAAACGCTAATGTATACAGAAGGCTTCTAGAAGAACTTATGCTCCCCTCAGTAATACCAGTTTTTGGAGAACGAAACTTTATATTTCAACAAGTTTGTGCTATTCTTCTTTTCATTTTTTTTTAATAATTATAAAACCCATTGCAGGATAACTGCCCGACTGGTAAGTCGGTATTTGGAAGCCCAGGGAGTCAATGTTTTGCCTTGGCCCTCTAGGAGCCCAGATTTAAACGTAATTGAAAATATTTGGGGAGAAATGCAAAAATATATTTATCAAAATGATTTTCGACCTAGAAATCCACTAGAATTACAAGAAAAAATTGTCGAGGCATGGGAAACGGTAACACCTGGATATATGAGGCAGTTAGTTGCTTCCATGCCTCGTCGACTACAGAATGTGATCGATGCAAATGGTGCAATGACAAAATACTGATCAGTTGAATTGGCATCTTCAGTATAATGTTTCTAGTTATAATTCCAGTTTTTTATTTTCTCTTGAATAAAGTTACGTTCCTAATTTTACGCTCTCGTTTATGCCTTTATCTTTCCGACTAATTTCTTGAAAACAATAAATAAAATATGCGAAAATGTTTCACAAACCTAATAAATAAAACTTTTGGCAGGAAAAGCCCAACTTACACGTTTTAAATTTCGAATTTTCAAAATTATCTAGTTACCTATTGTGTCCCAGTTTTTTTTGTCCAGCGATGGTACAACGAAACGTGTTGTTTACTGTAACGTCCGCGACCCTACAGTTTTGCGAGGGTTGTGATCTCCGCTAACTACACTGGTAAGTTGTCGACCTTGAAATTTGCTTAAATTTTGAAAAATAATATATGTAGTTAAATTTGATCAAGGACATAAAGTGATTATCTCTTGTTACACTTATTAATCAAGTTACAATGTTAAAAACAAAAACATTATTGTTATTTTGTTTTAGAACCACTTTCAATTATGACATTTCAATGAAATAAAGAATAATATAAGAAATATCTAAACTGTTAAATCGACTGCAAGTATACAAGAAGTTTTGCAGACCCAGGCTATAACTTTCGACGGATTTGATGAAATCGTTGAAAATTTTGAGAGTTACAGTCAAAGACTCGAAATTTTTTTCAAATTAAGAGGTTTGCATAAAAACGACAAAGAAACTAGTGATGCCAAAATTATGGTATTAATAAATTATTTGGGCAGCAGACATTACAAATTACTTGCAAGTTTGACCTCTCCAGAACTACCAGCTACAAAAACCTACCAAGAATTAATGGATCTTCTAAGAAATCATCTTGCACCGAAGAAAAATATTTTAGATGAACAACATAAATTCTTTTCAAGAGTTCAACAACCAGGTGAATCAATTTCTACATTCATTGCAGGATTGAAAGAATTAATTAAAAATTGTGAATTCAAAACGGAATGTAAAAAGAAAAAACCTCCTTGTTTAACTTGTTCGAAATCTGTGATCGACATGTTACTACGAGCTCAGTTTATCCGAGGACTGCAAGATTCCAGCATTATCTTCAATTAGTAAACGTCTCTTTTGGTAAAGGATTAGAAACAGCATTGGCAATCGAAACTTCAAGAATTTAACATCGAGAAGACTCATCACATGCGTCAAATAATCTTCATACAATTGGTTTTACTAAAGGGCAATCAGCATCAAAATATAGTCAAACTATATCTTCACGTCAAAAATCTTCAAAAATAACAGGTCGAAGCATAAATTTACAAGAATTGGGTCTATCAGGATTGTGCTTACATTGTGGAAAAAATAATCACCAAAGTGACAAATGTCGCATCAAAGAAAAACTTCACTGTAATCTCTGTCGAAACAAAGGGCACATAAATAAAGTATGTCTTTCTACATTACTTCAAAAAAATCGACAAAGTGTCGACATCGGTTCAAATTCCTCTGTTGATGAAGAATTTCAAATAAATAATGTTGTCGATATCTTCAATACCTCTTCGTCAGCTTATAAACCAAGAATGTTCATTACAGTACAAATTTTTGGCAAACCAGTTAAATTTGAGTGTGATACTGGCAGTCCAGTCGGTCAGAGGTTTAAATATTTGTTGCTTCATAAAAACCTCTGGGTTACATACGAATACCTCTTACATATAAAAAGAATAAGTTCATGGGAGATTTATTTGTCGTTTCTGATTATGGTACAGCCATTATGGGAAGAAGATGGATGCAGGTCCATTTTACAACCATCATTTTCTAATTCTTGTTGATGCCAAATCCAAATGGCCAGAAGTAATTATGGTTAAAAATTCTCCATCACCGAGCACCATCTATCATTTACGAGAAATCTTTAGCCGGTATGGATTACCAGAAATATTAGTGACAATCATCTTCAAATCAAATGAATTTAGAGCATTTTGTGAACGGAATGGTATTAAACAACGGATGATTGCACCAGGACATCCAGCAGAACGATACTGTCAAACAAAATTTAAATGCATGATGAATGAACTGAGTTACTCCGTTATCTTCTGGACAGACGCCCTCTGAACTCTTTTTAGGAAGAAATGTACGAACCAAGTTAGATTTTATGAGACCAACTGAATCAGCAAAAAAGAAAAACAAATCGAGTTTCGAGAAACATTTTCAAGTGGGTGATAGAGTTCAATCCAGAAATTATCAAGACATGGATTATAGAAGTATGGAATAATTACAAAATGTATTGGTAATCTACACTATTTAGTAGAACTAGGTGACGGTTATGTAATTAAGCGTCATTACAATCAACTTCGTTCCTGTAATGTGGAGAAGAAAATGAATATCAACACTGCAACAGGTTTTGGCACTACCTTGGACCTAGAAGTTGATTGTAAGAATTCTCCAAACACCAACATTCTGATTCAATCAACACAAAACACACTAAATCAAGAGCTCATTCGAAAGAAAGAAATTAGATCAACAGAAGAACACTACCAGTTATTATTCAAAAAGATGATCAACTTGAACAACAATTAATGGATCCAGAAACAAGCGTACAGCCCGCGATACGTCGATCTACTAGAATCAATGATCTAATAACTAATGGATAGAATGTTGAGGCGCGTAATACCGCTCGCATGCGGTGACAACTAGAGAGAGAAATAAACATATCTACAGTGAGTGTTGTTAGACAAGGCCAACACGTATCGGTAGGCAAGAACGAGCTTCGGTGCCGTTGAGTTAAATAGGAGATAATGTAAAAATGATTTTAAAATTCAACTTTGTTGTCGTTTTTTTTTATTTTGTAGGACACTGTATACATACAATACAAAATGAATATAAACACACAATTTATTGAACAAAATTAATTTTGTGTATACCTGTCTGATTTTATTAGGAACTTGATTATTTCTGCTGTTTTCATAATTCAGTCTAATAATAAAAAAATACGTAAAATTACATAAAGCAACTGGACTACATGATTGTTAAGTGGATCTTGATCCAAAATGTGGTCATTTAAGACATTAAACATATTTCTGAAATTTAGTAATCTAATGGTTTTAATTGTAAGAATATTAATAACATTCGCTGAAATATTATATTTCATAGTTCTGAAAGTGGTTTCAGCTATCTTACAAACTTTGATGACATCAACTGATGGCTTTGTAAGTTCACCTCTATTTTTTTAAATTTAGCAGTGCCGAAAGGGTCTCATTGGGTCTCATTGTTAGTCAGTTTTCTAGGCCTTGTTTAATTTTTTTTTATGTTTTGAAAAATTCTCAGTTGTTGTGTGGGATTAACAGAATTTATTAACTGCCGAAAATTCTCATTTTTAAAATGTTTGCTAGACACTCTTGACGCAGACGTCCGAACAAATTTATCTCGTTTAAGTGCAACAATCCATTGCTTTCTTAGCAACAGATTTGTCGGAAAACTGAAATTAAATTAAATAAAGATTGTATGAAAAAATTATTCAGCAGATATCTAACCGATGAAATGAAATATTACAGCCTTTGTGATGCCGCTCCTCGCATCCAAATGCACAACAAGATGTAACCATCGTGAATATGATTGTTATTATTGCGATTGTAAGAAAAAAAGCACTTTAGAACTGCACAGAAATGCCACACACACCAGGAAGTGAGTAATTAAAAGTAAATTTTAACTGGAAGTTGCTTTGTTTTGCCTACCGATTCGGACCTCTCAAATGGTCACCGTACCCTCTCTCTCTAACGTCTCTCCAGTCTGAGATCTCTATGACTAGAATTAAGAAACCAGTTCAAAGGTTAATTTTGTAATCTAAAAATTTTACTGATTTGAACTATGAAATTAGGGAGGCAAGACTGTTATATATTAATCAAGTTACAATGTTAACAAAAACAAAGGCTTTATTATTATTATGTTTAGAATAATTTTCAACGATGACATTTCAATGAAATAAAGAATAGTATAAAAATAGCTAAACTGTTAAATACACAACAACTCTTGTTTCCAAATATCTTTATAAAAATTTTAACCTCTCCACCGTAACGTAGCTCCCTAACCTGTGTTTTCTTTCTCTCTGTTTATACAGTATTTGTGTCAGGGTTTACCACTATGCACTCGAGTTAACCACGCCTCTGGTTCCAAAGTATGGCCAACCAGTGGCGCAGCAATTTAGTTTATCATCCGTCATGGGCATGAAACGAACTAAAACTTAAAATTAACTGCTTTTAAAAGAATATTTACACAAATCCGATAATTTACAAAGTTTGCAGCTCAACATATTGAGTTTATTAAAAACAAAAAAATAACGCAACGTATAAGCACACACAGTACGTGAGGGAACACAATACGCCTATGGAGTACCAGTACGACAGGATTTTTTAGCAAAATCGTACTCCTCCGTTAATATTTTTTCACTCCTGCAGTTGAGGTCGTTAGTACCTGGTGACCAGTTCACTTTCTCAGTCACAATAAGTCCAAAGAGCATCAGATAAAACCATTATGCACAACACCAGTTGATACACTAACAGTAATTAAGTGGGTGTTTATTTTAAAAAGGCAACAATTCATTCAGTTTGTACCAAAAATCAACAACTACGTGTGCGTCGAGTCATGGAAAGTTCAAGGAACTTGTTTGAAGTTCATGATAACATTTTGGAACTCGTACTGCATTTATTAAATTATTCATCAACAGGTTCTTTTTATGAAGATATAACAAAAATTAAAGAATGGATTATCAAACAACCACATTTTCCAGAAGTAATGGGTAAGAAGCCTCTTATAAGTCTGAAACATTCAAATAGGCGAAATAAAGCAACAATTATTTTTTATATTATACCTAGTCTGCTTTGTTAAACTCAAATACATTTTTTTTTTTTGTTAATTTAACTAAAATCTAAGGTTGCAATTATTTCCTATTACCTACTAGAATATTGTTTATTTAATTAATAATAATGCTTCAAAATATTCTTTCAATAACTTTACTCCTGTGTCAATTTTTGGTCTTTTGGGTCCATTTTGTCAGTCAGTTCACAAAAATAACGTTAACTTTCATTTTTTAAATTTAATAAAACAATTCAATTTTTGCAGCCGACAAAAAAATCGAAAACTTTCTTATTTTAAACAAAGGCAGCGTGGAAAGATGTAAGGAAAAAATAGAGAATTACTATAGAGTAAGAACCCACTTAACTGATATATTTGGAAATATTAATCCCAAGTTACCTTACATGGAATATATGTTGAAGGCAATGTACTACCAGTTACAAGAATTCGTATAACAATAATTGTCACAAGCTCTTTTAGGTATTTTGTTCCTCTTCCAAAACTTACAAAGGACTTCTATAGAGTGCTTTACCATAAAATAAGAGATACATCCTTAACGAAACATTTCGATTTTGATGACGCTGTTCGCCTTTTAGTAAATATACAAGAACTTCGTTTGACTGAAGATATTACATATGGCGATATCCTTATAATGGACGGTCAAAATACTCCCTCAAGTCTTCTGTTCAAAGTAAAACCAACAACTATGTACAACGCACTAGTAGTTATATACAAGGTAAAATAAGATTTGTTAATTTGCCTAGTAAAACTTTAGTATTGCAGAGAGTTTTCTCGAATCGTATCAAAGCAGTTTACATAGTTAACGCCCCCTCTTCTGCGGAATGGTTTCTGAATATTATTAAGAACACTATAAAACCTAAAATATTTGAGCGTGTAAGTAATTTTCAATGTATATTTTTTAAATCGCGAATAATGATTATAAATTTGGATTACAGATACATGTATGTGAAAATTGGAATACTATCTTTGAACAGATCGGCGAGGAAGTTCTACCGAGAGATTGTGGAGGTAAAGAAAAATCTTTGGAAGAATTACAAGGTAAGACAATTTTTGAAAACTTTCATGTGTATTTTAACAACGGTGATTGTTAGACATCCTCCGACAAGAATTTAAACAACGCCAGGAGTACTTTGATCAACTAGATGCCCTTCGTGTTAATGAAGAACTGAGACCACAAAAGCTTAAAGATGGTGACATGTTCGGGTTTTCCGGAAATTTTAAAAAATTGGAAATTGATTAAATTCATATTTGTTACGTATTTTGTTTGATTTGTTTCTTCTGGTTTTCATTTTAGGTAGGGCACTCAAAATTTTCGTCAGCTAAGGCATGACATTTTGCCATTTTATTAACATGAATCTAATTAAAAATAAATCATTTGATTCATCTTTGTCTTTGGTTAATTCTTTTTTTTTTTTGGGAATCACGACGATGATTCTATTCTATCGGCAAGCACATGCCGCCCAGCACCCCTCTATCATGAAGAAACGTAACGCATAGCGTGCACTCGTGATGCATTGACCAATAGGCTTCTATTTTCGGTGTTCCGTTTCGCACATCAGAACGTGTTTAGTCGGGGTTGCGCGAATTGTGAACGTTTTGTTTTTGTATGTTATTGGACAAGTGAATCTACAATGGCACCACCGATGCAAAGTGAGATTTGAACTTATTTTAAACCAGATGATGATCGAAATAAAGCTCAGTGTATAATATGTAATAAAACATATTCTCGCAAGGGTCGTACCACTTCGTCTTTGAAAAATCATCTGAAATCCATGCACCCAGAACAGTTTAGTTTGTTCGAAAGTTCGAGTAACGAAAAACAAATGCAGAAGATGAAAGCTGATGCACGTAAGTTTTACTATCAACAGCGTTTATTTATTAGCCTTAATAAACCATTTTGCTTTTATTAATTACTTAAAAGTATATTATTCTTAATAGATTGTCAGATAAGCTGCTTTAAGGAATTAATTAAAATTAACAGAAATGTTAACAGCAGTTAAGCCCAAAGTAGGTTTATTTTGTATTTAATACAAAAAAATCGGTGCAATAAAAGTTTCGTTGTTTAAAATCTATTTTGCATCCGTTTATTTTTGTTAATTTCCATAACAAGTTATAATTTATGTGTGTATTTATTTTTAGATACTCACTACAAGAAGCAAAGAAACAACTTTCGATAGAGGAAGCAGTTCAAAAAGAAAAAAAATGGGATACCAACAATTCAAATTCGAAAAAAATTGACAAACTCATCGGAGAAATGATTGCACTTCAAAATTTATCGTTTAATTTTGTAGAGGGACTCGGTTTTCGCAAACTGATACAAGAATTATCACCAAGGTATAATTTAAGAGGGCGCAATTTTTTTACTGACTTTGTGTGCACGGAACTTTATGGCAGTTGCTAACAAAATGAAAGAATTAATCGAAAAATTTGATTACATGGCGTTTACTTCTGATATTTGGTCGGATCCAAGCTCTAATTCATCTTTGCTTAACCTGACTTGTCATGGAATCGTAGAAAACTTTGATCGATCATTGATTATATTGAAATGCGAAACCTTGGACGACCGTCACTTAGGTGACATAATTGCAGAAAAATTTGACACCATGCTTACTGAATGGAATATTTCAAAAGAACAAGTGCACTGCATTATTCGTGACGAAGGCTCCAATATAAAAAGAGCTATGCGATTAGCAGTATTGAATAATTTGGATTGTGCAGTTCACAAGATGCAACTCGCTATTCGAAGTGGTTTACAATCGCAGGAAAACATAACAACCGTCAAACAAAAATGTAAGAAAATTTCGACTCACTTTAACCATTCCACCATTGCTCAAAAACAACTGCAAAAATCCAGGACAGCACGTTTCACATGTTTGAGCGTTTTTTAAAGGTAAAAGATGCATTGAGTCTTTCATTGACAGTGAAATTGACCCTATTTTGCCAGAAGAGTGGAAAATTATTGAATGTTGTGTTGAGCTATTGAAACCTTTTGAAGAAGCCACACGGGAACTAAGTCACTCTCATACACTTATATCATCTGTGATTCCAATAATTAAAATGCTTGGAAAAAAACTTGATGATTATTTAACAAGAGCACAGGATTCTGATCAAATTCAGGTGGCTGTCACGGCTCTGAAAACTGAAGTTTCAGCAAAATTTTCTTTGTTGGAAGAGAACAATTTATATGTCATAGCCACGTACTTGGCACAAGTTTTTTACACCAGTGACCGAGGAAAATATTAAGGACGATATTTTGAAGATTATGACAAACATAGAGAATGACGTCTCAAACTCTCAAATATCTCCAAATTTCAAAGCAGCGAAAAAAATTGGTCTAAAGAGTTTAAACAGTACTTCCCTCGCTGTCGGAAACTTGACGACTGCATGCCTATTGTGTTTTTTTTTCTCATTACATTTTTGTAGTGGGAATTTAAAAAAAATTGTGATGACGTCATCAACATTTTTGCAAGGACACGTATTTCAGTTGGGATAGATGTAGTGTAATACTAAGAATAAAATTATTGTATTCCCAAATTTTCGGGAAAATGAATTGGGTCGTTTTGAATATTGATTTCTTATAATCAATAAAATAACGAAACAATTTACTCACGTATACGGCGCCGGTGTGTAATATCTAGAGAGCGGATTTCTGTCGGGCTAGGCAAGGCCAAACTCGGTACGGCTCGTACGGGATGCGAATTCATTGCGGTTGCGGACTGCACTTCGTTTATTTGACATTAGAATAACGCTGTTTCGTTGCACTCTGCTGTTAATTCCCGTTCTCATTTACTTAGCCGTTTGATTAATAAATCGTTAATTATATTTATGGAATTAGTACTGATTAAATTCAGTGATTATCTATCACCCGCTACTGAGTCCCGGCGATCCAGCGCGTCCCCACCTATAATCGTGACGTGGCCCGACAAAAATCCGCTGTCTAGTAATATGAAAGGCAACTGAAAATCGTTTATGTATAAACATTCTTAATTTAAGATGACAAGCGTAACAGCATACGTGAGAGTCAAACAGAGAAACTGTAAACAAAACGACCATCGGTTTTATTGCTTCGACTTCCGCTTATTATATAAAACATTGGGTTTTATTTTAATTCTTGACGGTGAAATTCACAATTGGTTGATTATACACATATGTCTATTTCACATTCGCGGAACCAAGTGAGCGCATAAAACAAATGCAGGTCTGTAATGTTAAAGTCGATGTAAATAAGCGTGCTACCCTTATGTTTCAACCGAGTTTTTCCTTTAACAAATTTTGTGTCTACCAAATTGGGTTGGTTGGGGTGTAATACTAAATAATAAGTGTTGCCTTTAATTTAGTCAATAAAATAAATTGACTTCATTAATTTTTTTGAACCACCTCTTAAGAAAATCTAAAAAATATGAATGGAATGATAAATCACAAGTACAAACTCATCATATTTTTTGCATTTTAGATAGGATTTATTCAGCAAAATTTAAGGGTGACGTCATCAATTTTTTTAGGAGGGATGAACAAATACATTTTGAACAAAAGTTTACCATGCTTATAATAACTTTAAAATATTCCCAAGATTTCAAAGCATTCGGTTTTGTAATTCCTGATTAAATCGATAAAATAAATTCACGCTTTCATTAATTTTTTTGAGTCACCCTGCATATGCAAATCCAAAAATATGAATGGAATGATAAATCACAAGTACAGACTCATCATATTTTGTACATTTTAGATACGATTTATTCGGCAAACTTTTGAGCTGACGTCATCAGTTTTTTGTAGAAGATAACCAAATATATTTTGACTAAAAATTTATTATGCTCTTTATAACCTTAAAACATCTGCAAGATTTCAAAGAATTCGGTTTTGTAGTTTCTGAGTAAATCAGTAAAATAAATTTACGCATTCATTAATTTTTTTGAGTCACCCTGTATATGCAAATCCAAAAAATATGAATGGAGTGATAGATCACAAGTACAGACTGATCATATTTTGTACGTTTTAGATATGATTTATTCGGCAAATTTTCGAGCTGACGTCATCAAGTTTTTGGAGGGGATAAGCAAATATATTTTGACTAAACATTTATTATGCTCTTTATGACCTTAAAACATCTGCAAGATTTCAGAGCATTCGGTTTTGTAGTTCCTGATTAAATCAATAAAATATATTTACGCATTCATTAATTTTTTTGAGTCACCCTGTAGATGCAAATCCAAAAAATATGAATGGAGTGATAAATTACAAGTACAGACTCATCATATTTTTAGAGTTTAGACAGGATTTATTCGGCAAACTTTCGAGCTGACGTCATCAATTTTTTGGAGGGGATAAGCAAATATATTTTGACTAAACATTTATTATGCTCTTTATAACCTTAAAACATCTGCAAGATTTCAAAGAATTCGGTTTTGTAGTTTCTGAGTAAATCAGTAAAATAAATTTACGCATTCATTAATTTTTTTGAGTCACCCTGTATATGCAAATCCAAAAAATATGAATGGAGTGATAGATCACAAGTACAGACTCATCATATTTTGTACATTTTAGATATGATTTATTCCACAAACTTTTGAGCTGACGTCATCAAGTTTTTGGAGGGGATAAGCAAATATTTTTTGACTAAAGATTTATGATGCTCTTTATAGCCTTAAAACATCTGCAACATTTCAAAGCATTCTGGTTAGCAGATTAAAAATTAAATTTCAAAATGTTGTTTTATAATTTTGATTTTTTTTCCAAAAATCTGGACGTTTCGGGTGAAAAGTCGATTCGGAGTTGTAAACTACATGTGTAGGACTATGTTATTTTATACAATTGAAAACCCATTTACTATGTACAATTTTGAAGTGACGTCATCGCATTAGTGGTGGGGATGATTAGACAAATTTTGGTTAGCGTTTTACCATCTACATGATATTCTTAATATAAGTACAAAATTTCACAACAATCGGTCGAGTACTTTCGGAGATTATCTGTCTAATAAAAATCCGGGACGGCAGACGGACAGACGGACAGACGGACAGACGGACGGACAGACGGACAGACGGATAGACAGACGGAAATGGGAGACCTATTTCTTCGTCTTCTAGGGGTCATGAAAGATAGAGAAAACGTAAAAGTAGAAAGTCGGCCGACGGACTCGATTACAATACTTCCTTTGCTTACGCTCGGGAAGTAAAAATTAATACTCAATTTATTTTAAAATGCCCCGCTTCAAAAATATAATGCGAAAAAAATCATAATTGGCATGCAGTCGTCACGGTTCCGACAGCGAGGGAAGTACTGTCTAAACTCTTTAGACCAATTTTTTTATTTAATTCAAAATAATCTATTTTGATGTCAAGTCACTTTTTTGAGCTAATGCAACTAGTTGCTAAAAGTGGAAAGAGTATGTTATTACTAGTTATGCAAAATTAGTCTAAGTGCTCGCAGAGATCTCCTACTCCATTGCAAGTCCAGTGTCGCACGACGATTGCAATGACGCAAACTGTAGCGATGGGCGAAGCAAAAATATAATGCGCGCTACTGCATCAATGTGCTTAAAGTCTCATCGACTAAAAGTAAATGGCACCAGTTAACATCATATTATTAAGCTAACTGCGTATTGATAAAGTGCATAATAATTCTAATGAACTAGTCATTTTGAAGAGAAACAACAACGCAACATTTTGTGCATCGTATTATGGAAAGTTCAACTCACTTATTTGAAGTTGGTGACAATATTTTGGAGCTTGTACTAAATTTGTTAAATTATTCATCCATAAACTCTTTTAACGAGGATGTTGGCAAAATTAGAGAATGGATGATGAAACAACCACATTTTCCAGAAGTAATGGGTAAGTAGCATAACTGTAACTAATGTTTTAAAAATATAGACACAAAGTATAATTACGAATATACAAACCCAGAAAAGTGACATGCTGAAAATGTTGCAGCGTTATTTTAATGTAGTGCACCTAGTTTTTAAACATAAATATATTAGTTGTACTTATCTGTAGCCTTAAACTTTCAAATCACCACAGAGGTCAACCACACTCTTCTTTGTTCAAGTCAATTTTTTTGTTAATTAATTGTAATTTGTTTATTTAATATGCTTCAAGATTTTTCTGTGAGAATCCAAAAATTTGACGAGTAAACAAAATGTGCAAACCGTCAACACGCTCGTTGGACGAAGATTGTGGCATCGAATGAGATTAATTTTCGTTTAAAAAAAATATAAACTAAATTTGACTTACCAATGTTAATATGTGCTTTTTTATTGAATTGTTGAAATTTAATAAAACGATTCAATTTTTGTAGCCGACAAAAAAATTGAAAACTTTCTTATTTTAAACAAAGGCAGCGTCGAAAGATGTAAGGAAAAAATAGAAAACTACTACAGCGTAAGAACCCACTTAACTGAAATATTTGAAAATATTAATCCCAAATTACCTTACATGGAATATACCTTGAAGGCAATGTACTACCAGTTTTATAGATTGTTATGATATAACAATAATAATCACAATGTGTTTTAGGTATATGGTTCCTCTTCCAAAACTTACAAAGGACAATTACAGAGTATTTTACCATAAAATACGCGATGCACACTTAGCGGCAAACTTTGATTATAACTACGCTGTCCGTCTTGTGGTAAATATACAAGAACTTCGTTTGACTGAAGATGTTGCTTATGGCGATGTCTTTATAATAGACGGTCAAAATACTCCCCCAAGTCTTGTGTTCAAAGTTAAACTAACAACTCTATACAACGCATTAGTAGTTATATACAAGGTAAAATAAAATTTGTCAATTTGCATTGTACAATTTTAGTATTGTAGAGGGTTTTCTCGAATCGAATGAAAGCACTTTATCTAATTAACGCTCCTTCTTCTATAGAATGGATTCTAAATGTTATTAAGAGCGTTATAAAACCTAAGCTATTCGAGCGAGTGAGGAATTTTCAATGTATATTGTTTTAATCACCAGTATTTATAAATTTGGATTACAGATACATGTATGTGAAAATTGGAATACTGTCTCTGAACAGATAGGCGAGGAAATTCTACCGAGAGACTGTGGAGGTAAAGAAAAATCTTTGGAAAAATTACAAGGTAAGACAATTTTTTAAAACTTTCATGTGTATTTTAACAACAGTATTTTTAGATATCCTCCGACAAGAATTTAAAAGACGCCAGGAGTACTTTGATCAACTAGATGAACTTCGTCTTAATGAAGAACTGAGACCTCAAAAGCTTAAAGATGGTGACATGTTCGGGTTTTCCGGAAATTTTAAAAAATTAGAAATTGATTAAATTAATATTTGCCACACATTTTAACGTATTAGTAGATTGTTTTAGTTTCAGATAATGTACGAATCATGATGGTATTTTAAATATTTGTGTATAATTTAGGACTGAAATTATATTCCAACGTTACGTTAGTTGCACAGACCACAAAATAAAATTCGAGGTTAATCGGACCCATTACACCTGTTAATACTATTAGCATATTTTAGAAAACAATACTTAAAATTCAATCTAATCATGCATAATCTACACTTTTTTTTACAATTTAGAAACTGTAAAAACAAATTAATAATGTTGATTTTATCATTGCTATTGAAATTTACTTTTTTTCCTCATTTCCAGTTATTCACTGACGTCAGTCGGACGTAAATACTTACTGAATGTTATATAAATGCACAAAAATTAAAAAAACTATTACGCAAGGACAACTTGTGGATTTTACATTATTGCATCACTGGTACAATCTTCTCTGATAAATAAGTTTATTTTGATCCTTTTATATATATGTCACAGTGCTCTACTTCCCACCCAAACACTAAATGCGAAACTCGAAATCTATACTTCTATACTTATATTATAAAGCTGAAGTGTTTGTTTAATTGAACGCGCTAATCTCAGAAACTACTGGTTCGAATTCAAAAAATCTTTTTGTGTTGGATAGTCCATTTATCGTATCTACATATAGGCTACTGACTTGGTTTTGAGTACCGTGTTGTTCAAAGAATACTATGTACGTTAAGAAAAGAAAGGCAAAATTTAAACCCCACCCCATCTCAGTTGTGATGATTTTCTCAGAAACTTAAAACACGTTTAAAATGATAAATTTTTGTAAGAAAATATGGATCTTGGAATTAGGCTCCGCCTAAGAAACTTAAAACATGTCTAACTACTATCAACGGCAACTTGGCAACGGAGTTTATAAATGATATAAATTTTCAGCTATAAAATCAAGGTCACGGGGAACAGCAACTTCAGTGGGAACTTCAACGTCAACGGCAAGTTTATAAATAGACCTTAACTTGGACACTTGGAGTCTACTAAGAATTTTTGATTTCTTTCTTCTATAACAATAATAATATATTGTTAGTTATTTACAATGAAAACGTAATATTTTTTACTGCAAAATTTTATGCACAGGTTCTCAGCAGGAGAGATCGAAAACAATTGAATTTCGTTTATTACAGTGTGATTTGTCCTGAATATAAAAAAATGTTTTAGACAAATTCTACGTCCTACTTTTAGCCGTAGAATCCGAATCTGTAATAAAAATTCGGGGTTCCTATTTAGGATTTCAAAGTTACGTCTCGCCCCACCTACAAAGAAGAGGGAGGGGAACTAGTTTTTGCACCAAAGTATTTCCCCCATGGAATGATTAAATTTTTGAATCTGGACGTTGTTGGTAGAGTGGTTATTTTTTGAGATATTTGAAAGTTGCAAGTTAAAAAATCACCCTGTATAAACTTTTATAGTACATCTTAAATATTAATCATATTTATTTACACATTAATTATATGTCCTAAAATCACCAAAGTCGAACGAAATTTTTGCAACATTTTAATGAATCCCACTCTTGAAAACATGAATTAGGTACACCAGTTTTATTAAAACACTCAAATTTTTATTAGAACAATTTTCGGTTTGAGTTGCTTTAATCTTGATTACCTGGAAAAATAAAAAAAAATAGCTGTGAATATATTTTATTGACCTATTATTTATGAGGATTGTCAATAAGTTTACGCCAAATACCTTGTGGACAAAAATTTCCAACTCGAAAACGTGATTAAAATGAAATGAAAAAATTGAGATTTTCAGCTAAATGATTCTAAACACAAAAACTAGACCTGAAAATTTCTGTGAGTGGCAAAATGAGAAAATAGGAAAGAGTAGTTTGCATATTATTATATTATGTAGTAAACATGCATTTTGCATAAATCCGAGCTCTTATAATTACTTAATTAGACTTCATACAAACGGAATTCCAACCTTCCATTAACAAAAACCAATTACGTAAAAAACTCTTCCATTCGCAACACATGCAAGGAGTTTGTTTACGATTATTAATGATAATTGCAAAAGAAAATAAATAAAAGTTTAACAAAGATGCAAATTTTTACTTCCCGAGCGTGCTAAAGACGAATGCCTACTTTGTTTTCCCGACGTTTCAAGTCCCCTAGAGTACGAAAAAGTAGGTCGCGTGTTTCTTTTTTATGAATAATCTGCCTTTGTTAGCCTGTTATACGTTAGGGAAGTTCTATCTAAATAACTTATTAACCTTTTTACTTCCCGAGCGTAAGCAAAGGAAGTATTGTAATCGAGTCCGTCGGCCGACTCTCTACTTTTACGTTTTCTCGATCTTTCATGACCCCTAGAAGACGAAGAAATAGGTCTCCCATTTCCGTCTGTCCGTCTGTCTGTCCGTCTGTCCGTCCGTCTGTCCGTCTGTCCGTCTGTCCGTCTGTCCGTCTGTCTGCCGTCCCGGATTTTTATTAGACAGATAATCTCCGAAAGTACTGGACCGATTGTTGTGAAATTTTGTACTTATATTAGGAATATCATGTAGATGGTAAAACGCTAACTACAGTTTATCTAATCATCCCCACCACTAATGCGATGACGTCACTTCAAAATTGTACATAGTAAATGGGTTTTCAATTGTATAAAATAACATAGTCCTACACATGTAGTTTACAACTCTGAATCGACTTTTCACCCAAAACGTCCAGATTTTTGGAAAAAAATCAAAATTATAAAACAACATTTTGAAATTTAATTTTTAATCTGCTAACCAGAATGCTTTGAAATGTTGCAGATGTTTTAAGGCTATAAACAGCATCATAAATCTTTAGTCAAAATATATTTGGTTATCCCCTCCAAAAACTTGATGACGTCAGCTCAAAAGTTTGCCGAATAAATCCTATCTAAAATGTACAAAATATGATGCGTCTGTACTTGTGATATATCACTCCATTCATATTTTTTGGATTTGCATATACAGGGTGACTCAAAAAAATTAATGAATGCGCAAAATTTATTTTACTGATTTACTCAGGAACTACAAAACCGAATGCTTTGAAATCTTGAAGATGTTTTAAAATTATCATAAGCATGGTAAATTTTTGATCAAAATGTATTTGGTCGTCCCTCCTAAAAAATTTATGACGTCACCACAAAATTTTGCTGAATAAATCCTATCTAAAATGTTTAAAATATGGTGAGTCTCTTCTTGTAATTTATCATTCCATTCAAATTTTTTCTATTTGCATATACAGGGTGACTGAAAAAAATTAATGAGTGCGTCAGTTTGTTTTATTGATTCAATCAGGAATTACAGAACCGAATGCTTTGAAATCTTGGAGATGTTTTAAAGTTATCATAAGCATGGTAAATTTTTTATCAAAATGTATTTACTCTTCCCCATAAAAAATTGATGACGTCACTCCAAATTTTGCTGAATAAATCCTATCTAAAATGTACAAAATATGATGAGTCTGTACTTGTGATTTATCATTCCAATCATATTTTTTGGATTTGCATATACAGGGTGACTGAAAAAAATTAATGAATGCGTGAATTTATTGTATCGATTTAATCAGGAATTACAAAACCGAATGCTTTGAAATCTTGGAGATATTTTAAAGTTATTATAAGCATGGTAAACTTTTGTTCAAAATGTATTTGTTCATCCCTCGTAAAGAAATGGATGACGTCACCCTTAAATTTTGCTGAATAAATCCTATCTAAAATGCAAAAAATATGATGAGTTTGTACTTGTGATTTATCATTTCATTCATATTTTTTAAATTATCTTAAGAGGTGGCTCAAAAAAATTAATGAAGTCAATTTATTTTATTGATTAAATTAAAGGCAACACTTATTATTAGAATTACATTGGACCAACCCAATTTGGTAGACACAAAATTTTTTAAAGTAAAAACTCGGTTGAAACATAAGGGTAACACGCTTATTTACATCTACTTTAACATTACAGACGTGCATTTGTTTTGTGCCCTGACTAGGTTCCGCGAATGTGGTATAGACATGTTTATAATCAACCAATTGTGAATTCCACCGTCAAAAATTAAAATAAAACCCAATGTTTTATATAATAAGCGGAAGTCGAAGCAATAAAACCGAAGGTCGTTTTGTTTACAGTTTCTCTGTTTGACTCTCACGTATGCTGTTACGCTTGTCATCTTAAATTAAGAATGCTTATACATACACGATTTTCAGTTCCCTCTCATATTACACGCCGGCGCCGTATACGTGAGTAAATTGTTTCGTTATTTTATTGATTTTAACAAATCAATATTCAAAACGACCCAATTCATTTTCCCGAAAATTTGGGAATACAATAATTTTATTCTTAGTATTACACTACATCTATCCCAACTGATATACGTGTCCTTCCAAAGATGTTGATGACGTCATCGCAATTTTTTTTAAATTCCCACTACAAAAATGTAATGAGAAAAAAAACACAATAGGCATGCAGTCGTCAAGTTTCCGACAGCAAGGGAAGTACTGTCTAAACTCTTTAGATCAATTTTTATAACCTAATTCGTTAATTTTGGGACCAAAAAACGTCTCCTTTTATTCATTTTTTAACGAACTAAAATCCGAAGCTTATTAATTAGCAAAAGTAGTACACTTGGATAACTTGCCATCTCATTTCATACAGTTTGCAAACCTTGACCCTACTAACTATTTAATAAAAACTTTATCAGTTAGCAACACATTAATTAACATAAATCAGAGCTGTACGAGCATAAACATTAAAAGAATACTATCAAGAGTCATGGTCCCGTATGTTTTTCCAAGAACCGTCGAGCTAAATAAAACTGATAAAACGCATTGTCAACAAACAGTACCCCAACATAATTAACTTTTTCGAAGACTGCAAGCAAACCTAGAGAAATGAACTTCATACTTCTGGCCACAATCACGATAGAACTTTTGGTGGTTTCTGTCGCCGAAAGTGCTAGTAAGATTTAACAGTTTACTCTATAAATTTTTACCTCATTTTTTTAGAAAACCCATTATTACCCAATCGGACTGTATGCGGTATACAAGACGTGGTTCAAGATTTTATCATTGGGGGCAGCGACGCGACCATAAATGAATATCCTTGGATGGTCAATCTTGAATACCAGGATATAATCTACCCAGAAAGAAAACGAGAACTCCTTTGCGGGGGTGCTTTAATTAACGAAAGATATGTTCTCACTGCTGCGCATTGTCTTAACGTTGACGACAAAAAATTGTGAGATTGTTTCAACTCTACTTGCAACTCGTTTAGTGAATTGTAATTTCAGAGTTAGTGTGCGTTTAGGTGAATGCAACATTGAGACCTCACCAGACTGTTTCTATAAGGGGCAGGAAAAAAAGTGTGCCCCTGTGGAACTTAGCGTGCCAATCGAAGATGCAATTCAGCATGAAGCTTACGATCCAGACGTTCTTGGAAAGTTTGACGATATTGCTCTGCTCAGGCTAGATAGGAATATTACTTACTCAGGTAATCGTTAATTTGTTTGCATCCATGGTACCAAACTGACCCGTGTCAGTCAGAATAGGGTAACATCAGTAAGTCAGAGTAATATATTAGAGAATAATAGCAGAAGAATTTGTATAATCAATACATATTATTCTTTATCTGGTCTTAGTAACCGTAATGATAGAAGCCTTCCCTGAATGCCGGTCCTTTCCGGGTCAGCGGTGTAACCGCATCCTTAAGTGTTTATATCATTTCCAGATTCCATCAAACCTATTTGCTTGCCGACAAAACGAAAACTCATTAACACTAGCTACGAAGGAAAGAAACTAATGATCGCTGGGTGGGGCTCTACTACAGCACACGGAAATCGAAACTCCATTGTCAAACAGAAATTGCAAGTAAATATAGTTTAACACACGTAGCCATGATTGTTTTGAGTGTTGTTTTTTAGATACCGGTGGTGGATAAAGATAGTTGTAAACAAATCAAGTTTTATCGTGTTTTAAGGGATTCTCAAATTTGTGCTGGTGGTGAAAAAGGAAAGGATTCGTGTAGGGGCGACAGCGGTGGGCCTCTGATGGCTGAACATTTAAAAAAACGTAAAAGTAACTGGTTTGCTGTGGGAATTTTATCGTTCGGTGACGAAACGTGTGGCGAGCAAGACTCTCCTGCCGTGTATACCAGAGTGGCGCATTATGTTGACTGGATTACAAGCAAGATGCTTCCGTAACTTGGAACTGAAATTAAAAGTAAAAAATCGACTGTGTACAGAAACTGTAAATAATTGTTTTATGTTATTAACAAGTTCGTAAAGTAAAGTTTTTGCGGACAGTAGGTGATTATTTTTTATTTAAAAAAATTCACAAAATAAGATACCAGATATCATTAAGAACATCAAAGATTCCTTGAAATTCGTTCTAAACAAAACACAAGAGCCTTCAAAGTTTCTTAAATTAAAAATAAGATACGAAGGATCTTAGGATTTTTCTGAATTCTTAAAAGAAAAGATTGCGGGTCCTTGGATTTTTTCAAATTTTGTCAAAAACGAAACACGTACCAAATTCTAAAAAAAGATACTTACTTACTAGCAACTCCAAATTCTTTCAAAAACAAGATACCAAAAGGTTCTTTAAATCCCATTCAAAAACAGAAGACCAGAGACCCTAAACTTCTTGCAAATTCATTCAACACCAAGGTCTTCTCTTTCAAGGTCCTTTTAAATTTGTTCTAAAACAAAATACCAGGTGGCGACAAGATCCTTTCAAAAATAAAATATCCGGAGCTTCGACGTAGGTAGGTAAAATAAGAACCTTGCTATCCCTATGTTTTAAGTGAGTTTTCCCACAGCAAAATTTTGTGATGGAATCTGAAATTCTGAAAGCATACTTACAAGATTTCGGAGATTTCGAAGCTTTCGATGTTACAGTTTCAAATTTAATTTGTCTAATGTTCCAAAAATCTGAATGCCTAGGTGCCTAAAGTAAGTACGTGTAAAATTTAACAACAATCGGTTCGGTAGTTTCCGAGATTATCTGTTGTTTAATAAAAATCGACACACGCAGAGACGACAGACACGTGGAAACGGGAGACCTACCTTTTCGTGCTCAAACGTGGAGAAAATATGAAAGCAGCCCAATCCTAATACTCAGTGGTGATCGAACTGACAACCTCCGATCTTCACACAAACCTTTATCATAGTGCTTTTGATGGTTACCAAGGGTTTCTATGTTACATTAATCTGGGGAAATTCCCTGGTCTATAACTGAAAATCGCCGTGCAAAATTGTGTAAAAAAAAAAAAAACTCAACTCGAAAATGCTGTTTCATTATACTTACTTTAGGTGCGAGGGAAGTTCTGTCGAAACAACTTTCGACCAGTTTTTTTGCCTAATGTAGAAATATGTTAATAAGACCGGCTTAGCATATTTTTAAAGTAATATCATCAAAATTCTGGTGGGGATGGTCAAATTTTAGATAGTGATCTCTCAGACTGATAACCTCAAAACACATGCTAAATTTCAGACTAATTGGTTTAGTATATTCTAAGAGAATTTGCAAAGTTTTATTGCGCCACTTTGACTTTTTATTTCAAAAATTTGAACGTGTTGTTGAAATATTGTATCCTTTGGAAAGCCAAGCAGGAAGGTTTTGTGTTCCTTTTGGTGGTAAGCCGAATCGAAACTTCGAAGCTTTGGAGAGGTATGTTTTGACCACATGGGTTTTGACTGGGTGCTGTTTCGTAGCGTGTTTTCAAGTCAACCGACGGCGTTTCTGACGTATGGGGGCTCACACGCTTTGGGAAACCCATGGAATGTTCATCGACGCTAATGGCGGACGGCCGCCTGCGCTTTTCCGTTATTCTCGTTTTTATCTTTTGGTTTAAAATCCGTCGTAGTAGGGCTTTACAGCACGTGGTTCTTAGTTCGGGCCATGCTTTATTTAGCTATATTTGTGAGTCTGTATTTTGGATGGCGGCAAACGAGCCGTTATTTTCACTGTTCTTTGTTCAGGCAGCGGCCATTTTGGAAGCGTCCTTTTTTTTAAACCGAGCACATGTTTTAACTGTAGAATCTCATTGAACAAATTAACAACATTGTGGGTCAGAGGGGGACGTGCATTTTATTGCTTTGATTTAGACCATTGCTTGCACAACGCCACAGGATTCATCGCATTTGTGCATCGCATATTTTTGACGCATACTTTTTGGAAGGACGCTTTCGTCCGACACCACTTTGAACCTGCAGATTGTCTGCCATGTTTTTTTTTATATGTTTGTTTGGGGAAATGTATAACAATGGCCCACAATGCACGTAAATTTCCATGCTCTGCAGTTTTAACCTCACATAATATTTTTATTTGCATAAGTTCATTTCATCATTTTATATGAAGAGTGGTTCACCAAAACAGGTCCTAAGAAGTCAATTCCTGGTACTTTCTGGCTATAATTGAAAAAGAGTGCGCCTTTGGGTTGGGTGATTGGACCTTTAGATCAATACCGACAAAAAATAACCAGATTTATAATTGCATTATCTGGGTAACAATTTGACGAGACAGCGGTATGACGAAAACCAGATGTTTTTCCTAACATTTGTTTGTTTTTACCATAAAACTCTATGTTGGCACATACTTAGAAAATTTATTTTCCAAGTCTAGTCGGTTGGTTCTGGTGGTTGTTCAACAGTTTTGTGATTTTTTTCACTGTTCCTATTTGTAGCCGAATTTGGTTCTGTGTATCATTCGGTGGCTCTATGTCATCATGAATTTTAAATTTAAATTTCGATCAACATTAAAGTAAGTCTCAATTAAAAATAACTTTGAAATCGTATCAATTTTACAATATTAAAAATTGAAAAATTTTCCAGTATAAATATTTTTATACTTACCCCAGTAGCAAGCAATATTTTTCTAATATTGATACAAGATTGATATAATATTAAATGTTGACTAGATATTACAAATATTTATATAATATTCATTTTATATTTATAAATTTATATATAAATTTCAACATATATTACATATTTATGAAATGTCTTTTTATCAAGATATCGAACAACAAAAATGAAAAAAAAAAGTACCATGTTGGGACAACTTGTAGGTAATTTATTTCATAGGATTTTTATTGGAGCAATATTAAAAATTGATTTGAAAAAATACCAGCTATTGCGAAATTGACACTATTCGAAATCTGGCTTTGCACACTATTAATTTCTCATTAAAAAGTAATATTTTTTTTATTTTTGTGAACAAAAAATAACAATTTTTTTCATCATTTTTATAAAACTTACTTAAATTTGCGTTTCACCTACAGATGCAACATATACATATTTTCTGTTATTGTTGGTGGTTCAAAAAGTGTTTTGTGTAAGTTCATGGTGTTTGTCCTATTGTGAATTGTGATTATCGGTACTGCGATAAATTCAGAATAGTGTAGTAAATACCGTTTTGTCAAGAAAACAGCACTAAACCTACATAACCTCACTTCTACATGCAATGCAGAAAATGCAATTTCTCAGCACGTAAGTATATTTAAGAGGTTTAATATTTCTGAATATAAGCATATTATTAATGTAGAGACAAAATTATGAATGTCCGGGCGCAACCAAAAAAAAGAAGGAATCGAGTTAGAAATTGCGGGAGATACGCAGAAATTGGATGAATTGGTAAGCATTTATTATTAATATTATTATTAACTTACTAGTTAAGTTATAAACTAGTTTCAGACTGATAATAATGTTTATTTGTCAGGAAGAGAAGACGTAAAAAACATGTACACAATTTTGAAGAAATTATTAATAATGAACCAAATTGCTTTCAAGTTTTCAGGGCAAGGAAAAAAATAAGCTCTCTTTTAGTGAACTCACAATTAACAAGGCTACAATATGTCAAGTTATGTGATTTCTTAAAAATTACGAATTTTGTAAGTTAATTTAATTGCAGGTACCACACGGAAACGTCACAAAAACGCCACAACTACTGAAATTTAAAAAATGGTAGGATCCTCATTAAGCGCAGACAAAAGCAAGAATGAATTCTCATCGAAAAAAACATGAGGTATGATTTTTTTTATTTTAATTAATTATATCGCTTTTCAATGAATTGGTTATAGAGCAAATAATTATTAAATAAATATTTCTGTATAACGATTGAAATGTAGCAGAACATTGTTATTTCCATTGACAATGTATTTTTATTTAATTGTAAGTTGGCAGTGTATTTTTATGTTTAAAAAATTTATATTGTGTTTCACATCAGGTGATTTTTTAAATTTATGCTCTGGTTGCCCATGAAGCTTATGCCAGCAGTTTCAGTTTCACTGCTGGCATGGGTAACTACAGCAGAAATTAAAAAAAAATCACCCGGTACAAATTTTCAACGAATTGGTTCTAGGACAAATTATTTTTAAATGTATAAATATTGCCGCGACGTTTCAAATACACTGTTATTTCCAGTGACAATGTATTTTCGTATTTAATAAATATTATATTGTATTCCATACAAGTTTTTTTTATATCCATACCCCCTTTCATATGAAGAACATTTATTAAATATTCTGAACTAAATAAGTATTAAACATTGAAAATAAATATATATTCAATATTTAAAACCAATATTGATTTTTTAAAAAAAAATCTGTCGTTACCCATATTATTTAAATGTTAGAACTTCAATATTGATTACATATAAAATGTTACTGGGGTATACTATGTAGAAAAGTTGTTGCCCGCAGCTCCGCTTGCGTGGAATTCGCAAGTAAGACACATCATTTTTCATCTCACTCACTCCTCCCTCCCCAGTAAACCCGTCTAACTTAAAAACTCACGGGATTTCTACACAAATTTCCGTCCCCTATTTTGTCTCCGTAGGGGCGGAATTTCCAAAAATCCTTTCTTAATGGGTGCTTATGAAACAAAAGGAACCTACTGTCCAAATTTCATATTTGTAGCTTCAGTAGTTTAGGCTTTGCGTCGATAAATCAGTCAGTTAGGAGAAACACTTTTATAGGTATATTAAGATTGATTCATCATAATTTTATGTATGTTTGTTAATAAAAAGTATCTCTCTACAAAAATATGTGATTACAAAATTTTATTTGTTTTTTTTTTACAAAAATTGTTTAAAGGGCGTTGAATAGTAAGTTGCATCGGGGCGCCTGGTCCCTTAGAGCCGGCCCTGCTGCCACGCCCAATCCACCTATGAGGATAGACTCTTTTCAATGTTCGCTGTGCAAGTACCGATTTATGTGGAGGAGCTCCGTTGTGCTGAAACCACATATTCCGCCGTACATTCAATGGAACATCTTCCAACAACCCCGGAAGTTCTAGTCTCAAAAATTAGCATATGCCTCACCATTAAGGCCATCAGATAATACAAACTTAAACGGAGTTTAATGAGTGAGTTATTATTAGAGAGCGGATTTCTGTGGGGCTAGGCAAAGCCAACCTCGGTACGGCTCGTACGGGATGGGAATTCATTGCAGTTACGGGCTGCACTTCGTTTATTTGAGATTAGAATAACGCTGCTTCGTTGCACTGCTGTTAATTCCCGTTCTCATTTACTTAGCCGCTTGATTAATAAATAGTTAATTGTATTTATGGAATAAGTAAAGTGACCATTCGTCCCGGATTGCGCGGGACTGTCCCGTTTTTAGACATGCAATCCCGGATTATTAGCGTCCCGGAAAATGTCCCGCATTTAAAGAAAAATGGATTTTTGATTTTTTTTTATATTTCTGTTTTTAAATTTTAAGTTTCCCGTGTTTTTTGCTGTTTTTCCAGAATTCCTCAAAATGCAATGAAGCTGTCTCATTAAGTTTTTAGGTTCAGATTATAAATTTCCGGCAATTCTTACTACTGTTTATCGCCAAGAATTCCGCGAAAAACAATCAAGCCGTTTCGATAATATATCCCTACCCATTGTCTTCAACAGATGCGCATTTACTCTCTATACTTTTCTTGGATCTTCGTTCTCTTGTGTGGTTGTGTCACTGTCAGAACTGCGAAACCGAACATTTTTTGAATTATAATTAATCGTGTCTTGCTTTTCCAATTCATATTTTTTGGTTCTTCAGAGGTGAGCAAAAGTTGTTTGATTTTCAAAAACCGTCACAATATGTACTTGTACTTAGATTGACTTTAATAACCATCGACATGCCTCCAAAACTCGCTCCAAAACGAAAATCTAAATTCACGGAAGATTTGAAAAAAGAGTAGTTCTTAAGAGGAGGTTTTACCCACACGGAAAGTAGCCCGTGCAATGGGTTATGATTTTTCGCATCACTGATTTATTATTGCTTAAAAATAGTTGAAAATTTAACTGCGTGTTGTCAAAGGATGTGGCATTTTGCCACCGTTCGAATTTTTTAAATCCAATAAGTAACTGTTGCAATAAAAATTCACAAAATCACATAAAATTGGCTTAAAAGAAGCGTTTGTAACTCGGCAATTAAGTGACGCCTTCGAAAAATTCAAATGGAGGCAGCAAGATCAACGTTTCGTAACTGTCTATATAAAATTGCGACGTTGTAAATTAGAAAATGTTGCTGTAAGACGAAAAATCAGAGCGCATGTTTTCGGACAAAATGTAAGGCGATTTCTGCTCGCCCTCACTCTGGTCAGGTGAGGAAAGACGCTGAGCGGGGGCTCACATCTGCTCCCACTCTAAAACTCAAAGCATATTCACGACGAGATCGTATTTTGAAATACTGCATTGGATACCAACGTATATTGTACGAAATGTTTAATAAGTGAATTTTCAATAGCCTCTGGGGGCAAAAATGACATCACTCGCCATTTCTAGACGACAAAACATAAAAATATGTTGGAAGCTGCTGCTTCTTCATCAACCATCGACAATTTTTTTAGAAAAACTGAATTTGGTTTAAAAGAACAAGAATTGGCTGCAGCAGAAGCAATTTTTTCATTTCACACAGTGAAACACAATCAAAGCTTTCGATCCATGGATTGTACGACAAAACTTGTACAAAAAATATATGAAAAAAAGTTTACATGTAAAAGAACAAAGTGTGAAGCAATAATAAAAAAAGTTTTGGCTCCATTGTGCAGAAATGAGTTAAACAATAAATTGTCACAGGTACACTCTATTTTAGTTTATTCAGATGCATCTAACCATCAAGCCATTAAATGTTTTCCTACTTTAGTAAGATTTTTTGATATAAATGATGGTATGCAAACTAAGTTATTAGACATCGTGTCTTTGCCAGGAGAGACCTCAGAGCTAATTTAGGATTTTGTGCCGATAATGCAAACACTAATTTTGGTGGTTTAAAAAGGAAAGGCACTAATAACATTTTTGCGAAACTAGAAAAAAAATTCAAACGGAAAATAATTGGAGTTGGATGCGCAGCTCACATTATATTATTCATAATGCAATTCAAACAGCCTGTGACCTATTGCCTGTAGATATTGAAAATATTATTGCGAATTTGTATAAGCATTTTAGTATATTTACTTTGAGGGTTGAGTCATTAAAAGAGTTTTGTGAAGAAGCAGAAACTGAATATCAAAAACTGTTGGGTTATAGTAAAACAAGATGGTTAGCCCTTTTGCCAGCGATGGAAAGAGTTTTAAAGCTATTTGAACCTTTAAAATCTTTTTTTTTATCATTGGAGAAATGTCCTCAAGTTCTAAAAACCTTTTTTGAGACTCCATCATCAGAACTGTGGTTAAAACTTATACACAACCAGGCCTTATTTTCGTCTTCAATTAAGTGTATTGAGGGCGATAACGTCACTGTTATGGAAGTGGCGAATGAAATTGACTCTTTAAAACGAAAATTGACAGAAAGGCAAAACCATAAATTTCTTCCTTTAATTTTGAGAGACAATTTGCGGCAATTAGAAGAAAACGGTGAAATCAACCGAACTTGGTTTGAATCACATATTAATTTATTTTACGCTAATTGTTTTGAATATTTAAATCAATGGGCCGCTCATTTTGAACCCATAAAGCATCTGGAATGGTCTCTTTTAAAAAAAGAAATTGTATGGTCCCAGGTTCAGGAAAGTTTTGCTGTTGTAACAAAAATGGTGGAAGGAATTAAGATTGACGAAAATCAATTATTTGATGAAGTCAGCTATGTTCAACAGTACGCAAGCCAGCAAAAAATTTGTGAATGGAATGAGGCCAGAACATCGTCAGATCTTAGATGGACAGAAATATTTAAGCATCACAAATCGGAAAATATTCCATTCGAAAATATATTGCAAATAATTGAATTTGCCTTTTGTTTGCCCGGAACAAATGCCCCCACAGAACGAATATTTTCACCAATGAACAAAATATGGACCACAGAGAAGACCCAATTAACAGTTGATTCCTTAAAATCAATTCTTATTGTGAAATATAATATGAATGGCACATGCGAAGAGTTATATGATCGCATTCGTTCAAATGTCGTGGTGTTAAAACAAGTACATAGTTCCGATAAATATTTGTAAAGTTATTTGCTTAATATTTTAAATGTGAAATGTTTTTGTATCCTCTTTTTTTTTGTTTTTTTTAGAATATTAAACTTTTTTGTTCATTAATTGTCTTATTGTTTACATTTTTTTTCAAGTGTTTTAGTTACTGTGGCTCTTAATTCATAGCCATTATTTATTACGCACTGGACATTATGAATGAATACCATGTGTCCCGGATTCGTATTCGTAAATTATGGTCACGTTAGGAATAAGTGACAATTACATTCAGTGATTATCTATCACCCCCTACTGAGTCCCGGCGATCCAGCGCGTCCCCACCTATAATCGTGACGTAGCCCGACAGAAATCCGCTGTCTAGTTATTATCCATTCACGATCTTTATTAAGTAATTAATTAGTTATAAAGTATAATTTTAGTTAAATCATCCACGTTATTACTTTGCACCAAATTTTAAGCATTTTCATTTTTTTTGTAACTCTTCATGAACCTGGAGAAGGCGTAGAGTAACGTTCTTATTAATAAGCGTTTGGAAGTACTTAGTAAAAGCAAATAAAGAGCACTTACGTAAGCATTAGTAATAGCTATATAGATAAATCATTCAATTTAAGGCCGGAAAAATGTTTCAGAAGAGCTAAACCCGTCAAAGCACTCGAGCAAGGTTGTTGTCTTTTACTTTTACCTTTTAGTAATCTTAGAAAAGTGAAAAAAGAAGTTGGAAGATATGGAAATAGGCTGTTCACAAAGGTCGAAATTTACATTTCTAAGAAGAGTGGAAGAGCAGAACGAACTGATGATTGAGAATTAAAGATAAGATGCTAAATGTGGCATGAGACAATAGTCGTATGTAGAACCCCCATTCATATAAAAACAATGTTTAAGTTAAATTTTAGTGTTTGTTCCTTATATATGAAATAAGCACTTACAAAAAGCCGAATAACTGTTTTAAATAGCGTAAAGTTTTATGCTTTCTAAGAAATGGATACGGAAAACTGAAAGTATCGGCAACAATGTTTATATTTCTGGCATATTTTTTAACCTTTAATTTAATAAAACATAACCTAACGAAAAAAGTTCAGGGAATTTTTATTCTTCTGCATCAAATACCAACAAACTAGACTTTCATGGCCAACCCTACAATTCTTTTTGCGAATTACGGCAATTCGGGACAGGAAACATGTCATTCACGGGAATGGCGCGAATTCTTGAACACTCTACATAATTATAGAGATCATGTGACTTAAATAACTCTACCCTCTAAAACAAAACACTAGAGTCCCAAAGCTTCTTTCAAAATCGTTCTAAAACAAACCTCTAGGACCCTCCAAGATTTTTTAAAATTCTTTCAAAAACAAAATACAGCTACTAAAAAATCAGATGACAAAATTAAAAATTTATTTTTAAATGGTACCAGATAATAAATACTAAAATACATTGATGAGTATCAAGGTTGATAGAACGTGGAATTGCAATCAGTCAAACATTAATCAACAACAGAAAATAAAGATGGCTATAATTAATTCATCAATGTGTTCATATAAATAAACGATAATATAAAATAGACTCAGAACTAGACTATATGATCACATTTGTATTTATGGCCTAGACTATATAACTAACCAACAGTGAATGTCTACGCGGTCACTCCATGACACGTACTCACAAAACTTTCGCACCAAAACATAACAACAAAAGAACAAAACGTAATCGTCACTTAACATCCTCTTGTTGTTCCTCTATGACTTCGAGAGAAACGTCCATAATTTCCTGCAAGATGTCTGCAGAAACTTCGGTATCTATTTCTTGAGGGTACGTGTAGACAGGTTTTACTGGCGTGTCACCGGCATGAATAGTCGTTTTCAGATTCGTTACTTTGGTTTGAATATCTTCGTAAGATTTTTCTTTAAACTGTTTTACATCACTATGATATGCGTTCTCAGTGCGAGTGAAGTGTTCAGTTTGGCGACTTATTTCCCGCACATTTTCTTCTACAGTACTTTCTAGACTTTGTTTTACAACGTCAAGGTGGCCAGCCCAATTATGTAATTGTGTCTTTAATTCCTACAATTCGGAATACTGTAATATTAGTCAAAAATAAAAAAATAAACATACATTATTGTGTCGATTCAGTTCGTCTGTTGATGCTTTTACAAAATCTGAAATTTCCTGTTGTGCTTGACTGTTGTAAGTTACGATTTGATTCTTACAGCTCGCGGTATTTTTGTCACTAGTGTCTATTGCACGCTGGACTAACGTCGGAACCTGCTGTAATGGTTCCAACTAACAAAAAAAAAAGTTATTAAAAGCACTATGAAACACAGGATACTACTTACGTATGTACTGAAACGAACTAAATCTTCTTGCACATCTAACAAATTTTTCACGGAACTAGCTTCCATCGTTGCCATTATTTTGTCACTAATTTCTTCCATCATATCAATATGTTCTAACTCTTTGTCTAATTCGTCATTTCTCGCTGAATACATTTGCACAAGCTGTTCCTGCAGTTCTTTAGTTTTATTTATCTGAGATAGCTGCTGTTGAATGCGAGAACGTTCCAATGATTCACACAACTCGTTTAAAAAACCATCTGCTTCAACTCTCTGTTGCTCGATTTCATCGAATTTCCTATTAACCTGAAGCAAAATAATGAGAATAGAAACATTAATTTTCAAGTTTAGCGATCACCCTGCTTAATTTTATTTGCTAATCTGAATTGTTGTCAAAAAAACAAACGGACCCGAGTGTAAGCTAAAGAAGTATTGTAATCGAGTCCATTGGATGACTGGCTACTTTCGTGTTTTCTCGACGTTTCATAAGGGTACGAAAAAAAAACGGGAGACTTATTTTTTCGTACCTGTCTGTCGTCTGTTCGAATTTTTCTGGTCATCCCCACCAATGACGTCATCTCCAAATTTTACAACAGCAAATGTTGCTTTAATTTTATAAAACGAGGTAGTGTGTGGTTTATGAATCCGTGTTGAGTTTTTAACTTTGGCATCACGATATTTTGAAAAAATCAAAATCATTTATAAGTCAGTTAACTTTAAAATTGCAAAATCGAATGCTTTGAAATCCTACAAACGTTTGAAGGCTATCGGAAGCATGGAAAATCGTTAACCATTTGTTCATTCATGCCCCCAAGAATTAATGGTGTCATCTTACAATTTTGTCAAATAAATATTATTGAAATACTAAAAAGTAACATAGTTCTGAAGTTGTGGTTTATGAATCAGTGTTGAATTTTTATGCTAGATATCGAGATTTTTGGAAAAAAATCAAAATTTGTTTTCAGATTTTTGATTCTGGGACTTTTCTATTTCTCGAATCCTCAGTTTTTCATTCTTCATTTTTTTTCTCAATTCTTTAGTTTTTCGACTTTTCGATTTTCTACTTTTGCGATTTTAAAATTTTTCGTTTTTTTTTTAATTGAAAATTTTTCAAATCTTAACTTTTCGATTACTCAATTTTTTGCATTTTTCAGTTTTTCAAATCTTCAATTTTTTAATTTCGATTTCTTGATCTTTCGACTTTTTGGTTTTTCAGTTTTTCGTTTACGCAATTTTTCTAGTTCTCGATTTTTCGATTTTTTTTATTTGAAAATTTTCAATTGTTTACTTTTGGATTTTAGATAGATAGATACGTTTATTGCACAACAGTACAAACGGTTAGTTAACAGTGTATACCTACTGATTTTAGCCAAATTCGATTTCTCGATTTTTTTATTTTTCAATTTTTCGATTTCCCAATTTTTCTTCATTTCAGTTTTTAAATTTTTAATATTTCAATTTTAAACTTTTCGATTTTGCCCACTTTGATTTTTCGGTTTTTCAATTTTCCAATTTTTCGAAACTTCAGTTTTCCGATTTTTCAATGTTTGAGATCTTTAACATTTTGGGTTTACGATTTCTTAATTTCTCGGTTTTTCAACTTTATAATTTTTCGATTTTTTGATGTTTCGATTTCTCGGTCTTTCGACTTCTTGCTTTCCAATTTTTCAGTTTTTCGAATTTTCAATTTTACGATTTTTCAACGTTCCATTTTTCAATTTTTTAACGTTTCGAATTCGCGATTTTTTAATTTTTCTTAAATTTTCACTATCGATTTCTCTATCTTCCGACTTCTTAGTTTTAGTTTTTTAATTTTTTGACTTCTAAAGTTAAATTTTTCGTTTTTCCAATTTTTCGGATTTCAGATTTTTCGATTTGACAATTTTTCTATTTCCCGATTTATCGAGATTTCGATGTTTCGATCTTTGATTCTTCAATTTCTCGATTTTTCTTTTTTGTTTTCATTTCAAATTTTTCAATTTTTCATTATTCCAGTTTTTTGATTCTTCAGTTTTCCGAGTTTTTAATTTTGGATTTACGATTTCTTGATCTTTCAACTTGTTGGCTTTAGATTTTTCGGTTTTTCAGTTATTCAGTTTTTCGTAATTTTTCTAGTTCTCTATTTACCGAGATTTCCTGATTTAGATATTTTGATTGTTCAATTTCTCGATTTTTCGATTATTTTTAATTTAAAATTTTTCAATTTTTGAATTTTTTATTTCTCAGTTTTTCGATTATTCAATTTTTGCGATCTAATAAATTTTGGACTTTCGATTTCTCGGTTTTCCGATGTTTCGATTTCACCATTTTGCAATTTTTCAACTTTTACAGTTTTTGATTTTTCGGATTTTTTAATTTTTTGATTTATAAATGTTTGGTTTTTAAATTTTTGGATTTTTCAATTTATGTAGATTTTGTGTTTGAATTTTTTGTTTATTCAGTGTCTCAATTTTTCCATATTTTTTTAATTTTAAATTTTTCAATTTTTAACTTGAATTTCGCCTATTTCGATTTTCCAATTTCTCACCTTTTTAATATTTTAACTTTCCAATTTTTCGAATTTTTAAATTTTAGATTTTTCGGAGTTTTTAGTTTTTTGATTTTGCTCATTTCGATTTCTCAGTCTTTTGACTTCTCTATTTCTCGAGTTTCCAATTTTCCGATTTTTTACATTTTGGATTTACAATTTCTTAATCTCTCGGTTTTTCAACTTTCTAATTTTTCGATTTTTTTGAGGTTACTATTTCCGGATATTTCCATTTTTCAGTTTTAAAATATTAGATTTTTGATTTCACATTTTTCAATTTTTTACTTTTCGATTTTAGCCTATTTGGATTTCTCGATTTTTTGATTTTTCAATTTTTTAATTTCCCAATTTTTCGTCATTTCGATTTTTGAATCTTTTACTTATCAATTTTTCACTTTTTAAAAGTTTAGATTTTTGAATATCGCGATTTTTAATTTTAGGTTTTTTGGGTTTTTCAATTTTTCGATTTTTTTAAATTTCAAATTTTAACATTTCGATTTCCTTTCGATTTACGATTTCTCAATTTCTCGGTTTTTCGACTTTTCAATTTTCTAATTTTTCGTCAGTTTAAGAGTTTTTCAATTTCTCGCAGTTTTTCAATTTCTCGCAGTTTTTGATTTTTCAGTTTCGACTTCCTGGTTTTAGACTTTTCGGTTTTTTAATTTTCTGATTTTTCGTTTTCGCAATTTTTCTAGTTCTCCATTTATCGAGATTTCGTTGTAACGATTTTATTTTTAATTTAAAAAGTTTCAATTTTTAACTTTTCGATTTTAGCCCATTTCGGTTTCTCGATTACTTGATTTTCCAGTTTTTCGTCATTTCTACATATATTTGAATTTTTTTCCCCCAATTTTTCAGCTTTCCCATTCTTTATTTTCCGGTTTTTCGAGGCTTCAAGTTTTCGATGTTTTAATTTTTCAGTTTTTAAAATTTTAGATTTTCGAGTGCTCAATTTTTTAGTTCTTCGAATTTTCAATTTTTCTAATTTTTAAATTTTAGATTTTTCGGGTTTTTCATTTTTTTTTTAATTTAAAATTTTTACATTTTAATTTTTCGATTTCTCGGATTACCATTTTCTTTCGATTTATGATTTCTTAATTTCTCGGTTTTTCAACTTTCCAATTTTTAAGATTTTAAATTTTTCAGTTTTCATCTTTCGACCTCTTGGTTTTAGATTTTTCGGTTTTTCAATTTTTTGATTTTTCGTTTTTTGTTTTTCGTTTCGCAATTTTTCTAGTTCTCGATTTAGCCATTTTTTTTTTTAATTTTAAACTTTTCAATTTTTATCTTCGGTTTCCCAAGTATTGGTCATTTCAGTTTATTTTTTTTTCTCAATTTTTCAGTTTTTCAATGCTTCATTTTCCGATTTTTCGTTTTTTTTTTAATTGAAAATTTTTCAATTTTCAATTTTTCGATTTTGCCCATTTCGATTTCTCAATTTCTCGGATTTTCGTTTTTTCAATTTTTTCAACTTTCCAGTTGTTCGATGTTTCGATCAATATTCAAATTTTCAATTCTTAAAATACTTATTAGATTTTTCTGTGACGATTTTTCGATCTTATGACTTCTTGGTTTTAGATTTTTAGATTTTTCGGTTTTTCAAAATTTCATTTTTTCGTTCTTTAGATTGATTGTTCAATTTCTCGATTTATAGATTTTTTTTCAATTTTAAATTTTTCTATTTTTAACTTTTCGATTTTGATTTTTGGATTTTTCACTTTTTCGATTTCCCACTGTTTCGTAATTTCAATTTCTAATTTTTTTTATTTCTGAACTTTTCAGTGTTTGGATTTTTCATTTTCCGATTTTTCGACTTCTCAATTTTTTGATGTTTCGATTTCCAGATTTTTCAATTTTTCGATTTTCCAATTTTTCATTATGACAGTTTTTGGAATCTTCGGTTTCCCGAATTTTCAATTATTGGGATTTTTTAAATTTGGATATACTATTTTTTAATTTCTTGGTTTTTCAACTTTCCAATTTTCCAATTTTTCGATCTTTCGACTTCTTGGTTTTCGATTTTTCGTTTTCGCAATTTTTCTAGTTCTCGATTTATTTAACTTAAATTTTTTGATTGTTAAATTTCTCGTTTTTTTAATTTGAATTTTTCAATTTTTCGGTTTTTAGATTTTTGTATTTTTCAATTTTTCGGTACTTTAATTTTTCAGTTTTTAAAATTTTAGATTTTTCGATTTTCCTATTTTTCATTATTCCAGTTTCTGGAATCTTCAGTTTCCCGAATTTTCAATTATTGGGATTTTTTAATTTTGAAATTACTATTTTTTAATTTCTCGGTTTTTCAATTTTCCAATTTTCCAATTTTTCGATCTTTCGACTTCTTGGTTTTAGATATTTCGGTTTTCAATTTTTCATATTTTCGTTTTCGCAATTTTTCTAGTTCTTGATTTATTTAACTTAAATTTTTTGGTTGTTCAATTTCTCGTTTTTTTAATTTGAATTTTTTAATTTTTCGGTTTTTAAATTTTTCTATTTTTCAATTTCTCGGTACTTCAATTTTTCAGTTTCAAAAATTTTAGATTTTTCGATATTTAAATGTTTCAGTTCTTCGAGTTTTTCAATTATTCCATTTTGCTCATTTTGATTTCTCAGTTTTTTGACTTCCCGATTTTTCATTATTTCAGTTTTTCGAATCATTAGTTTTTCGGTTTTTCAATTTTTTGATTTTTCGTTTTTTGAGTTTTTCGTTTTCGCAATTTTTATAGTTGTCGAGATCGATTTTTTTTAATTATAAATTTTTCAATTTTGATTGTTTCGATTTTCCAATTTTTCGTCATTTCAGTTTTTGAATGTTTTTTCCTCAATTTTTCATTTCCCGATTTTTCGGTATCTCGATTTTTCAGTTTTTTCAGAGTTTTTTTTTTAGTTTTAATTTTTTCAATTTGCAACTTTTCGATTTTGCCTATTTCGATTTCTCAGTTTTTTGACTTCTCAATACTTCAGTTTTCCGATTTTTCAATTTTTGAAATGTTTTAATTTTGCACTTATGATTTCTTAATTTCTCGGTTTTTCAACGTTGCAATTTTTCCATTTTTTGATGTTTCGATTTCTCGATATTTCAAATTTTCAATTTTTAAAATACTTATTAGATCTTTCAGTTTCCATTTTTCGATTTTTCGACTTCTTGATTTTAGATTTTTCGGTTTGTCAATTTTTCGTTTTCGCATTTTCGAAAATTTCTATTATTTTTTTTAATTTAAAATTTTTCGATTTCCCAATTTTTCGTCAGTTCAGTTTTAATTTTTTAATTTTTCAACTTTTCAGTTTTTCGATTCGTCATTTTCCGATTTTTCGACTTTTCAATTTTTTGGTGTTTCGATTTCACGATGTTTCAATTTTTCCATATTTTAATTTTGCAATTTTTAAAATTTCCGATTTCTCAGTTTTTTTACTTCTTGATTTCTTGGTATTTCTAATTTTCAATTTTTGGAAATTTTTAATTTTGGATTTACGATTTTTAATTTCTCTGTTTTTCAATTTTTCAATTTTTGAAAATATTTCTCGATCTTTCGACTTCTTGGTTTTAGATTTTTTGATTGTTCAATTTCTCGTTTTTTTGTTTAATTTAAATTTTTCAATTTTTCGGTTTTTAAATTTTTTTTATTTTTCAATTTTTCAGACCGAGATTTCGGTGTTTCATTTTATTGATTATTCAGTGTTCCAATTTTTCATTTTTCTTTATTATTAATTTTTAAATTTTTCAATTTTTCAGACCGAGATTTCGGTGTTTCATTTTATTGATTATTTAGTGTTCCAATTTTTAATTTTTTTCTTTTTAATTTTAAATTTTTCAATTTTTCGTCATTTCAGTTTTGGAATTTTTCAATTTTTGAATTTTAAAATTTTACGTTTTTCGAGTTTTCGATTTTTCGTTGGTCGTCTGGACAACAAAAATTCAAAACGAAAAGATACAAAGCGCCGGTATTTCAGAAAATACGAAGGAAAAACAAGATTCGATCAAATAAAAAAAAAAAAAACGTGTTCAGAGAAAATATTTTAATAAAAATTGACACAGACGACAACCAGACGGAAACGGAAGACCACTTTTTTCGTACTCTAAGCAACACGAAAGTCCAGAAAACTTAAAAGTAGCAAGTCGCCCGATGGATTCGAATACAACAGTGCTAATACTTACCAATTTTGTACACTCTTCTGTTCGTTTTTCTACATCCACATTCTTCTCCAAAACGTAACTTTGAACTTCTTCAATATCCGTTTTCGTGTTTTGAAGACTATGCAAGCATGCTTCACTACTACTGTTGCGCAGTGACGTAAGACGATTCATGAGTTTATCACTTCCACAAACGTCACCAGAAACTAAACCAACTGGATTTTCCAAAGCTGTTTTCATTTGTGTTGAAATTTGGTCCAGTTGCACTAAATTCTGACTCTGGTTGCCTTTAATTACGCCGACTCTATTCTTACAATCATTGAAACAAGTCTGCTGATTCTTGAGAGAACTATTTGACATAGTAAGAATTTCCTTGAACCAACTCATACCAGTTAAATACATACTTTTGGACACGTTGGCGTTATTTGTCAACAAATCGCACTGATTGTCATACTTTTTGTAGTATAGATGTTCATGTTTCGTAGAAGTTTCACAAACATCAAGAAGGGTTTTAGACGTTTCCTCTAGTTGAGTCGTCTTACCGGTTATAAAATTCGCAGCTCGAGCTTTCCGCTTGCATTCGATTTTCGCCTCAGCCAGTTCTTTCTTAGCTTTCTCAACCAAGGAACTCGTACTTTGGAAGGAGTTCTTAAGTTCGTCATAGCGCTGATTTTGCACCGCCATTGCTTCCTCCGTCGTCTCAATCTCCTGGAGCAAGTATAAAGCTCGTTCGTGCTTGGCTTGAATATCGAAAGTCATTTTCTCATAAAAATCGTTACTCATGTAGAAACCATCTCCCTCCCTCATCGCATTTAATTCCTGTCGCAGTTTCAAGATCTGATTCTGGGAATCCGTCAACACTTCGGTTTTGTGCTTGTTGATGTTCACAGTGGGACAGTTCGCGACGTTCTTAGCCATATGGGCGTACTCCAAAGTACTAACGGTCTCATCGAAAGCGTCAACTGTTGACGCGAACGTGGCAATCATGGAGGTCTTGCTCGTTCCCCCCAAACTGTCTTGCAAAATCCGCGTTAACTTGGATTCCCGGTATGGAACGTGCTGCTTCTTTAGAGCCAGCGCTTTGATCACTTTTCCCAGGGTTAGTAGAGACTTATTGATGGAACCCGCTTCTCGGGCACGCATTTCTGTAGCGCCTGATCGTCCGATATTTTCGCTACCCGCCAGATCGATCAAGTGGAATTTACCAATTTTGATGGTTTCTTCGTCGAAGGTTGTCATTTCTCTTATGTTGAGCACAATGGTGAAGATGGTGTGCGAACGCGAGCTCAATCGGTTCAAATTGGTTGAGGCGATCTGTCGTTCTGCAGCACCTTTGTTCAAAAAATCGTACAATTCGCTAATACTGTGGACTAGAACTTCTGTGAGTCCTTTGATGCAAGTGGAACCTTTATTATCGGGGTCGTCAAACACTCTGGAATATAGGTACAAGAATGTCATCTAGTGGTTTATTATCACCATTGTTTAAGTATATTGTTGGACAACCTATATGGACAATCACTTTCCCATGTAGAAAAGAATGAACATATATTCTACATCTCACTCGCTTCACTATGAAGAGGCGGTACCTTACGAAAGGGAGTAAAAATAGTCTGTAAGCACGTGATGTCGATAAGGTAGTAAACGGACGTATTAGTCAGTACGTTGTACGGGTAGCAGTCACAAAATAAGCAAACGTACGTGTTGAGGACTTTACATATATGTAATATATTGTAATATGTAACGCAGTAAATCCTCGAAATCGAATAATAAAAAAATCAAAAAAAATAAAAATCGGAAAATCTAAAATTTCAAAATCGAGAAATTGAACAATCGATTAATTCAAAAATCCAAACATCGAAAAACTGGAAAATCGAAAAATAAAAAAAATTGGACAATCGAAAATTTAAAAATTCCGAAAATCGAAAAATTGAAATATAGAAGAACTGAAAACTCAAAAAATCGAAAAAACTAATCATTTAAAAATTGAAAAGTTAAAATTGAGAAATCGAAAAACTGAAAAATCACAAAATTGAACGAAATATCCAAAAATTAGGAAATTAAAAAATTGAGAAACAGAAATGTCAAAAAAGCAGAGTCGAAAAATCGCAAACTTAAAAAATCGAAAAATTGAAGAACTGAAAAATCGAAACTTTGGGAAATGGAGAAATGGGAGTATGAAAAAAATAAGATTACTTGAGAAATCCGAAAACTAAAAATTCAGAAACGTCAAAATTTGAAAAATAAAAAAATATTGAAGAACTGAAAAATCGAAAAATCTAAAATTTAAAACATTGAAAAGTTAAAATATCATAAAACTGAAAAATGGAGAAATCCAAACATCAAAAAATCAAAAAAATTAAATTCGAAAATCTAAAATTTAAAAATCGAAAAACTGAAAAATCAACGAATCGAGAAGTCGAAAATTTAAAAAATTGGAAAATTGAAAAAGCGAATAAATCAAAAATCGAAACATCGAAAAATCGAGAAACCGAAAAGCAAAAAATCGAAACATTGCAAAATTCAAAAATTGAGACATCGAGAAATCGAAAAATCAAAAGACCTAGGAGTGGAAAAATCGAAACATTGGGAAACCGAAATGGGCCAAATATATGAAAAATTGATAAAGCGAGAGATTGAACAATCAAAACATCGAAACATCCGAATTTCAATAAATTAAGATCTCAAAGAATTTAAAAATTCAGAAATTTGAAAAATTAAAATATAGAACTGCAAACTCGAGAAACCGAAAAATCCAGAAATTTAAAAATTAAAATCTGGAAAAGTTGAACAATTGAGATATTGAAATATAAAACAATCGAAAAATCGAAAGTATAAAAAATGAAAAACTGAAAATCCAAAAATAAAAATCGAAAAATCTAGAAGTCCAAAAATCAAATAATTGAAGTATTGAAAAGTATCAAAACTGAAATATCCAAAAATTGAGAAATCGAAAAACCAATAAAGCGAAGTCGAAAAATCGAAGAATTGAAGAACTGAAAAATCGAGAGAAGTGGGAAAATCAAAAATAGAAAAATTTAAATACTGAAGAACAGAAAAGTCAAAAAATCGAAAAATCGAAAAATCTAAAATTTAAAACATTGAAAAGTTAAAATATCCTTTAACTGAAAAATGGAGAAATCCAAACATCAAAAAATCAAAAAAATAAAAATTCGAAAATATAAAATTTAAAAATCGAAAAAGTGAAAAATCAACGAATCGAGAAGTCGAAAATTGAAAAAATTGGAAAACTGAAAAATCGGATAAATCAAAAATCCAAACATCGAAAAATCGAGAAACCGAAAAACAAAAAATCGAAAAACCTAAACATCGCAAAATTCAAAAATTGAGACATCGAGAAATCGAAAAATCAAAAGACCAAAAAATCTAGGAGTGGAAAAATCGAAAAATTGGGAAACCGAAATAGGCCAAATATATGGAAAAATTGATAAAACGAGAGACTGAACAATCAAAACATCGAAACATCCGAATCTCAATAAATTGAGATCTCAAAAAATTTAAAAATTCGGAAAGTTGAAAAATTAAAATATAGAACTGGAAACTCGAGAAACCGAAAAATCCAGAAATTTGAAAAATTAAAATATGGAAAAGTTGAAAAATTGAGAAATTGAAATATAAAACAATCGAAAAATTGAAAAATCGAAAGTATAAAAAATGAAAAACTGAAAATCCAAAAATAAAAAATCGAAAATCTAGAAGTCGAAAAATCAAAGGATCGAAGTATTGAAAAGTATCAAAACTGAAAGAAAATCCAAAAATTGAGAAATCGAAAAACCACTAAAGCAAAGTCGAAAAATCGAAGAATTGAAGAACTGAAAAATCAAAAATAGAAAAATTTAAATACTGAAGAACTGAAAACTCAAAAAATCGAGAAATCGAAAAATCTAAAATTTAAAACATTGAAAAGTTAAAATATCCTAAAACTGAAAAATGGAAAAATCCAAACATCAAAAAAATTAAAATTCAAAAATCTAAAATTTAAAAATCGAAAAACTGAAAAATCAACGAATCGAGAAGCCGAAAATTTAAAAAATTGGAAAATTGAAAAAGCGGATAAAGCAAAAAATCGAAAAACCAACAAATCGAAAAATCGAAACATCGTAAAATTCAAAAATTGAGACATCGAGAAATCGAAAAATCAAAAGACCGAAAAATCTAGGAGTGGAAAAATCGAAAAATTGGGAAATCGAAATAGGCCAAATATATGGAAAAATTGATAAAGCGAGAGATTGAACAATCAAAACATCGAAACATCCGAATCTCAATAAATTGAGATCTCAAAAAATTTAAAAATTCGGAAAGTTGAAAAATTAAAATATAGAACTGGAAACTCGAGAAACCGAAAAATCCAGAAATTTGAAAAATTAAAATATGGAAAAGTTGAAAAATTGAGAAACTGAAATATAAAACAATCGAAAAATTGAAAAATCGAAAGTATAAAAAATGAAAAACTGAAAATCCAAAAATAAAAAATCGAAAATCTAGAAGTCGAAAAATCAAAGGATCGAAGTATTGAAAAGTATCAAAACTGAAAGAAAATCCAAAAATTGAGAAATCGAAAAACCACTAAAGCGAAGTCGAAAAATCGAAGAATTGAAGAACTGAAAAATCAAAAATAGAAATATTTAAATACTGAAGAACTGAAAACTCAAAAAATCGAGAAATCGAAAAATCTAAAATTTAAAACATTGAAAAGTTAAAATATCCTAAAACTGAAAAATGGAAATACCCAAACATCAAAAAATCAAAAAAATAAAAATTCGAAAATCTAAAATTTAAAAATCGAAAAACTGAAAAATCAACGAATCGAGAAGTCGAAAATTTAAAAAATTGGAAAATTGAAAAAGCGGATAAATCAAAAATCGAATCATCGAAAAATCGAGAAACCGAAAAGCAAAAAATCGAAAAATCGAAACATCGTAAAATTAAAAAATTGGGACATCGAGAAATCGAAAAATCAAAAGACCAAAAAATCTAGGAGTGGAAAAATCGAAAAATTGGGAAACCGAAATAGGCCAAATATATGGAAAAATTGATAAAGCGAGAGATTGAACAATCAAAACATCGAAACATCCGAATCTCAATAAATTGAGATCTCAAAAAATTTAAAAATTCGAAAATTTGAAAAATTAAAACATAGAACTGGAAACTCGAGAAACCGAAAAATCCAGAAATTTGAAAAATTAAAATATGGAAAAGTTGAAAAATTGAGAAATTGAAATATAAAACAATCGAAAAATTGAAAAATCGAAAGTATAAAAAATGAAAAACTGAAAATCCAAAAATAAAAAATCGAAAATTTAGAAGTCGAAAAATCGAAGAATCGAAGTAATGAAAAGTATCAAAACTGAAAGAAAATCCAAAAATTGAGAAATCGAAAGACCAATAAAGCGAAGTCGAAAAATCGAAGAATTGATTAACTGAAAAATCGAGAGAAGTGGGAAAATCAAAAATAGAAAAATTTAAATACTGAAGAACTGAAAAGTCAAAAACTCGAGAAATCGAAAAATCTAAAATTTAAAACATTGAAAAGTTAAAATATCCTAAAACTGAAAAATGGAGAAATCCAAACATCAAAAAATCAAAAAAAATAAAAATTCGAAAACATAAAATTTAAAAATCGAAAAAGTGAAAAATCAACGAATCGAGAAGTCGAAAATTTAAAAAATTGAAAAATCGGATAAATCCAAAATCGAAATATCGAAAAATCGAGAAACCGAAAAGCAAAAAATCGAAAAACCAACAAATCGAAAAATCAAAACATCGTAAAATTCAAAAATAGAGACATCGAGAAATCGAAAAATCAAAAGACCAAAAAATCTAGGAGTGCAAAAATTGAAAAATTGGGAAACCGAAATAGGCCAAATATATGGAAAAATTGATAAAGCGAGAGATTGAACAATCAAAACATCGAAACATCCGAATCTCAATAAATTGAGATCTCAAAAAATTTAAAAATTCGGAAATTTGAAAAATTAAAATATAGAACTGGAAACTCGAGAAACCGAAAAATCCAGAAATTTAAAAATCAAAATATGGAAAAGTTGAAAAATTGAGAAATTGAAATATAAAACAATCGAAAAATTGAAAAATCGAAAGTATAAAAAACGGAAAACTGAAAATCCAAAAATAAAAAATCGAAAATCTAGAAGTCAAAAAATCAAAGAATCGAAGTATTGAAAAGTATCAAAACTGAAAGAAAATCCAAAAATTGAGAAATCGAAAAACCAATAAAGCGAAGTCGAAAAATCGAAGAATTGAAGAACTGAAAAATCGAGAGAAGTGGAAAAATCAAATCAAAAATAGAAAAATTTAAATACTGAAGAACTGAAAAGTCATAAAATCGAGAAATCGAAAAATCTAAAATTTAAAACATTGAAAAGTTAAAATATCCTAAAACTGAAAAATCAACGAATCGAGAAGTCGAAAATTTAAAAAATTGGAAAATTGAATAATCGGATAAATAAAAAATCGAAACATCGAAAAATCGAGAAACCGGAAAGCAAAAAATCGAAAAACCAACAAATCGAAAAATCGAAACATCGCAAAATTCAAAAATTGAGACATCGAGAAATCGAAAAATCAAAAGACCAAAAATTCTAGGAGTGGAAAAATCGAAAAATTGGGAAACCGAAAAAGGCCAAATATATGGAAAAATTGATAAAACGAGAGACTGAACAATCAAAACATCCAAACATCCGAATCTCAATAAATTGAGATCTGAAAAAATTTAAAAATTCCGAAATTTGAAAAATTAAAATATAGAACTGGAAACTCGAGAAACCGAAAAATCCAGAAATTTAAAAATTAAAACAATCGAAAAATGGAAAAATCGAAAGTCTAAAAAATGAAAAACTGAAAATCCAAAAATAAAAAATCGAAATTCTAGAAGTCGAAAAATCAAAGAATCCAAGTATTGAAGAATATCAAAACTGAAAGAAAATCCAAAAATTGAGAAATCGAAAAACCAATAAAGCGAAGTCGAAAAATCGAAGAATTGAAGAACTGAAAAATCGAGAGAAGTGGGAAAATCAAAAATAAAAAAATTTAAATACTGAAGAACTGAAAAGTCAAAAAATAGAGAAATCGAAAAATCTAAAATTGAAAACATTGAAAAGTTAAAATATCCTAAAACTGAAAAATGGAGAAATCCAAACATCAAAAAATCAAAAAAATAAAAATTCGAAAATATAAAATTTAAAAATCGAAAAATTGAAAAATCGAAAGTATAAAAAATGAAAAACTGAAAATCCAAAAATAAAAAATCGAAAAATCTAGAAGTCGAAAAATCAAATAATTGAAGTATTGAAAAGTATCAAAACTGAAATATCCAAAAATTGAGAAATCGGAAAACCAATAAAGCGAAGTCGAAAAATCGAAGAATTGAAGAACTGAAAAATCGAGAGAAGTGAAAAAATCAAAAATAGAAAAATTTAAATACTGAAGAACTGAAAAGTCAAAAAATCGAGAAATCGAAAAATCTAAAATTTAAAACATTGAAAAGTTAAAATATCCTAAAACTGAAAAATGGAGAAATCCAAACATCAAAAAATCAAAAAAATAAAAATTCAAAAATACAAAATTTAAAAATCGAAAAACTGAAAAATCAACGAATCGAGAAGTCGAAAATTTAAAAAATCGAAAAATCAAAACATCGTAAAATTCAAAAATTGAGACATCGAGAAATCGAAAAATCAAAAGACCAAAAAATCTAGGAGTGGAAAAATCGAAAAATTGGGAAACCGAAATAGGCCAAAAATATGGAAAAATTGATAAAGCGAGAGATTGAACAATCAAAACATCGAAACATCCGAATCTCAATAAATTGAGATCTCAAATATGTAATTTAAAAATTCAGAAACTTGAAAAATTAAAATATAGAACTGGAAACTCGAGAAACCAAAAAATCCAGAAATTTAAAACTTAAAATATGGATAAGTTGAAAAATTGAGATATTGAAATATAAAACAATCGAAAAATTGAAAAATCGAAAGTATAAAAAATGAAAAACTGAAAATCCAAAAATAAAAAATCGAAAAATCTAGATGTCGAAAAATCAAAGAATCGAAGTATTGAAAAATATCAAAACTGAAAGAAAATCCAAAAATTGAGAAATCGAAAAACCAATAAAACGAAGTCGAAAAATCGAAGAATTGAAGAACTCAAAAATCGAGAAGTGGGAAAATCAAAAATAGAAAAATTTAAATACTGAAGAACTGAAAAGTCAAAAAATCGAGAAATCGAAAAATCTAAAATTTAAAACATTGAAAAGTTAAAATATCCTAAAACTGAAAAATGGAGAAATCCAAGCATCAAAAAATCAAAAAAATAAAAATTCGAAAATATAAAATTTAAAAATCGAAAAAGTGAAAAATCAACGAATCGAGAAGTCGAAAATTTAAAAAATTAAAAAATCGGATAAATCAAAAATCGAAATATCGAAAAATCGAGAAACCGAGAAGCAAAAAATCGAAAAACCAACAAATCGAAAAAGCGAAACATCGCAAAATTCAAAAATTGAGACATCGAGAAATCAATTTTGTACATATATGTTTATACACATTACTGTTTACGGAACAATGTTAATTATGGATTTATGGATAACTCCTCGTATAAGAGCAGAATGAAGGGTTTTTGCCTTTGCTAATGTTTGATGGCGCCATCTGATGTAGAGTAAAATAAACCTAATACATTGGCTCACTGTAGTGAAAATGCGCGTTGATGAAAAATTTGTCCCACGCCCCCTGGATTCCTTGTCCTAAAGCTCACTATTTAGGGGAAGTAAAATTTGTATTAGGTTGTCCAACTATAATATACTTAAACAATGTTATCACTATCAGTTATCACCTACCGTAAAGGCACACTATCGCTTACTAGAAGATCGCGCACTTCTTCATTGTAAATTTCCACGAATGAAATGAGCATATTGTACTCAACCTGGAGTGTGGCCAGTTCAGCAAACAAATCAGCTGCTGCTCTGGGTACCATACCAACGGAAGGATCCTACAACTTGGTTCTTAATACAACAATAAACAAGAAAATGTGGATAATACATTGGCAAATTCGATATTTAGTGCTGCGTCTTGACCTATCATTGTGTAGGTTTTACCAGTTCCTGTCTGTCCATATGCGAATACTGAACATGTATAACCCGACAAAACGTATCTGATCAAAGGAGATACAACGATTTCATAGACTTCCTCCTGTGATGCAGTTTTATCAAACACACGATCAAACGTGTAGTTTTTCTCCATATTTCCACACTTTAAACTGATTTGGGTAGGCTGAATTTTCTGAATGGTACATATTCGTTTTAAGTCATTTTCAGATTTGGTCCATGGTCTGGAAACAAGGAAAAAATTAGTGTCCCAAGTCAGTTTTATTCACATTGTACATGATAGAAAACAAGTCCTATAGTAGGCCATGAAATTTATTTTTAATGTTGGCATTGGAAGTATTTGACACTTCATTTGACGGTTGTATGACTGCAACTGTCACACTGAACAAGGGACGCGTGTCATTAATCAATTAAAAATTAATTTCATGGCCTACTAGAAGACTTTTTTTCGATCATGTGATCCTTCACAATGTTTAAAATTAAGCCCAACCTGAACATTCAAGAATTTTTAAATGTTTGTGGTTTCTAAATTTTAGATTTTTCGATATTTTGATTTTCCTAGTTCTCGACTGTCAGGTTTTCAAATTTTCAATTTTTAGATATCTCAGTTTTTCGATGTTTCAGTTTTGGGATTTTTAAACTTTTCGTCTGTTGAATTTTAAATTTTCGATTTTCCAATTTTTCGATTTTGTAAATTTTAGTTTTTGGTTTCTCGTTTTCTCCTTCTTTCGATTTTTTCATTTTTTCAAATTTTTCGATATTTCGATTTTTCAAGTTTTTGGTTTCCCAATTTTTCAACACCCTACGAACAATTAAAAAAAGTATAATCAATTTGTTCGATCGCTAGATTATTCATTAAAAATAACCGTTCGTTTTCGTCGTTCTTTTGTAAACAATCTTTCGATTTTTCGGATGTCGATTTTTCGGTTTGTCTATTCTCGACTTTTTTTTGATTTTTTGATATTTGAGTTTTGGGATTCTTCAATTTTTTTCAAATTTAACATTTTTCAATGTTTCAAATTTTTCGATTTCTCAACTTTTTAACACTTCGATAGGTGAATCTTTCGATTTTTCAGTTTTCGTTTATTGATTGATAATTTTTCAATACTTGAGTTTTGGGATTTTTCGGTTTTTCGATTCTTCACTTTCTTAATTTTTCAATTTTTAAATTTTACATTTATCAATTTTTAATTTTTTACTTCAGTTTTTAGAATTTTTCGGCAGTTTGGTTTTTTAATGTTTCAACTTTTTCGATTTCTCAATTTTTATATTTTTGGATATCTCAGTTTTTCGATGTTTGAGTTTTGGGATTTTTCAGTGTTCCGATTCTTCAATTATTTTTCTTCAATTTTTTCGATATTTGAATTTCACGATTGAGTTATTCGATTTTTCAATTTTGCGTTTTTTAAATTTTACATTTTTCGATTTTCCAATTTCTCGGTTTTTAATTTTTCGATCCTGTAAATTTTGGATTTTTCGGTTCTTGGATCTCCCGTTCTCTAGATTTTTCAATGTCTCAATGTTTGATGATTCAATTTTTTTAATTTTCCATTTTTAGACATCTCGGTTTTTCATTGTTTCAAATTTTTAGATATTTCGATTTTTCAAGTTTTCAATTTCTCAACTTTTCAACACTTCAATTTTGGGAATGTTTCTATTTCTGGATTTTTTAATGTTTTATATTTTAAATTTTTTTAACTTTTTAATGTTTCGAATGCTGCATCTATCTAATTTTAGAATTCTCAGTTTTCGGATGTTTTAGTTTTGCGATTTTTCAGTGTTCAGATTCTTCAATTTTTCTTCGATTTTTTTTATTTTTCGGTCTACAGATTGATCAGTTTTTCGATATTTGAGTTTTGCAATTGAGTTTTACGATTTTCAATTTTTTGTTTTTAAACCGTACATTTTTCGATTATCCAATTTTTCGGTTAATTTTTCGATTTTTATAAATTTCAGATTTTTCGGTTCCTCGATTTCCCTCCCGTTCTTTTGACTTTTCAATTTTTCGAATTTTCCATTTTTCCACATCTCGGTTTTTCATTGTTTCAAATTTTTAGATATTTCGATTTTTCAAGTTTTCGATTTCTCAATTTTTCCACACTTCAATTTTGGGAATTTTTCCAATTATGGATTTTTAAATTTTCCGATATTTTAAATTTTACATTTTAGATTTTTTGACTTTTCGGATGTCGATTTTTAGGTTTTTCTATTTTTCAATTTTCCAATATTTGACTTTTGGGATTCTCCAATTTTTTCAGATTTCAATTTCTTTATTTTTAAATTTTATATTTTCGATTTTTACTTCAGTTTTTCGAATTTTTCGACACTGATTTTATAATGTTTAAAATTTTTAGATCTCTCAATTTTTCTATTTTTAGATATCTTCGTTTTTCGATGTCTCAGTTTTGGAATTTTTAGTGTTCCGATTCTTCAATTTCTCTTCAATTTTTTTATTTTTAGATCTACAGATTGATCAATTTTTCGACATTTGAGTCTTGCGATTGAGTTTTTGATTTTCCAATTTTTAAATTTTACATTTTTCGATTTTCCAGTTTTTCGGTTTTTAATTTTTCGATTTTGTAAATTTTAGATCTTTCGGTTCCTCGATTTCCCGTTCTTTAGATTTCTCAATTTTTAGAATTTTCCATTTTTCGATTTCTCAATTTTCCAGCACATTAGTTTTGGGAATTTTTCCATTTCTGGATTTTTTAATTTTCAATTTTTTAGATTTTTAAAGTTTTAATGTATCGATTGATGCTGCATCTTTCGATTTTTTGACTTTTCGGATGACGATTTTTTGACATTTTAATTTCTCTATTTTGAAATTTTACATGTTTCGATTTTTGCTTCAGGTTTTCGAATTTTTCTGTACTTTGGTTATTCAATGTTTCAAAATTTTTCGATTTCTCGATTTTTCTATTTTATTTAGATATGTATCTCAGTTTTTCGACGTTTTTGGATTTTTCATTGTTCCGATTCTTCAATTTTTTTTCGATTTTTTATTTTTCGATCTATAGATTGATCCATTTTTCTATATTTGAGTATTGTGAATGAGTTTTCTAATTTTTCAATTGTTCGTTTTTTAAATTTTACATTTTTCGGTTCAATTTCCCGTTTTTTTGATTTTTCAATTTTTCGATTTCTCAATTTTTTATTTAACACACCAATTTTGGAAAATTTTTCCATTTCTGGATTTTTCTATTTTTAAATTTTTTAATACATCGATTGCTGAATCCTTCGATTTTTCGGATTTCGATTTTTCAGTTTTTCAATTTTTCGATTCATTGATTGATAATTTTTCAATATTTGAGTTTTGGAATTTTTCAGTTCTTCGATTCTTCACTTTTTTAAATTTTTTTATTTTAAAATTTTTACATTTTTCGATTTTACGATTATTTAGTGTCATATTTTTCCATTTTTCGGATTTTGGATTTTTAAATTTTTTATTGTATCGATCTTTCGATTTTTCGAATGTCGATTTTTCGGTTTTTCTATTTTTCGAAATTTGAATTTTGACATTCTTCAATATTTCCAAATTTTAATTTCTCAATTTTTAAACTTTACATTTATCGATTTTTACTGCAGTTTTTCGAATTTTTCGGCAATTTGGTTTTTAAAGTTTCGATTTTGTAAATTTTAGATTTTTCGGATCCTCGATTTCCCGTTCTTTAGATTTTTCAATTTTTCAATTTCTCAATTTTGGAATTTTCCATTTTTCGACATCTCGGTTTTTAATTTTTCGATATTTCGAGTTTTCGATTTGTCAATTCTTCAAGGTATCAATTTTGGGAATTTTTCCATTTCTAGATTTTTAAATTTTTCAAATTTTAGAGTTTTAAATTTTTTAATGAATCGATTTTTCGACTTTTCGGATGCAAATTTTTCGGTTTTTCTATTTTTCGACTTCTATTGATTTTTCAGTTTTTCGATTTATTATTTGATCAATTTTTCGACATTTGAGTTTTGAGATTCTTCAATTTTTTCGAATTTTAATTTCTCTATTTTTAAATTTTACCATTTTTTTTCCAATTTTGAATTTTTCATTTTTTAAATTATTCGATTTATTGATTAATCAATTTTTCGATATTTGAGTTTTGGGATTTTTCAGTTTTTCAATCTTCACTTTTTTTATTTTTCAATTTTTAAATTTTTTCATTTTTCGGATTTTCCATTTCTCGAATTTTCAAATTTTCGATATTTTAATTTTTCGATTTAAAAATTTTTTAATGTATCGATTGCTGCATCTTTAGATTATTATTCGACTTTTCGGATGTCGATTTTTCGGTTTTTCTATTTTTCGATTTTTCAGTTTTTCGATATTTGAGTTTTGGGATTCTTCAATTTTTCCAAATTTTAATATCTCTATTTTTAAATTTTACATTTTTCGATTTTCCAATTTTTCGGTTTTTAATGTTCCGATTTTGTAAATTTTAATTTTTTCGGTTCCTTCGTTTCCCGTTCTTCTGATTTTTCAATTTTTCGATTCCGCAAGTTTTTCCTAATTCAAATTTTCGAATTTTCCATTTTTCGACATGTCGGTTTTTCATTGTTTAAATTTTTTTGATATTTCTATTTTTCAAGTTTTCAACACTTCAATTTTGGGAATTTTTCCATTTGTGGATTATTCAATTCTTCAATTTTTTCAAATTTTAATTTCTCTATTCGTTTCTCTATTTCTAAAATTTACATTTTTCGATTTTTTAATACTTTAGTTTTTCGAGTTTTTCGGCACTTCGGTTTTTCAATGTTTCAAAATATTCGAGTTCTAAACTTGTTCACACTTCAATTTGTGGAATTTTTTCCATTTCTGGATTTTTCAATTTTAGATTTTTAAATTTTTTAATATATCGAATACTCAATCTTTCGATCTTTCAGATTTCGATTTTTCAGTTTTTCAATTTATTGATTGATCAATTTTTCGATATTCGAGTTTTGGGATTTTTCAGTTTTTCGATTCTTCACTTTTTTTAGTATTTCAATTTTCACTTCCCGAGCGTAAGGAAGTATAGTAATCGAGTTCATCGGCCGAATTGCCACTTTCATGTTTTCAAGAGTAAGAAAAAAGTGGTCCCCCGTCTCCGTCTGTCTGTCTGTCTATCCATTTTTATTAGAGAAGTAATCACCGAAACTACTGGACCGATTGTTGTCACATTTTGTAGGTGAGTATATTATGAGTATCATGTAGATGGTTAAATACTAACTAAAATTTGGATAATCATCCCCGTTACCAATGGGGTGACGCCATTTCCAAAATTTATAATAAAACTTTTTTTTTAATCTTTTAAAATAAGATACTCCTACATTTGTGGTGTGTAGATATCCAGAATTTTTGGAAAAAATTCAAAACTGAACAACTATGTTTTGCATTATAACTTTGAAACTGCAAAACCGATTGCTCTGAAATCTAAATATTTTAAGGTTATCGTAATCATGGTAAATCGTTTAGCAAAATTTATTTGTTTAGTTCTGTCGAAATAACGTTCAACCAATGTTTTTATATTAATATGGTTTTTTGAGTTGCATAACCCAAAATTATTTTCAGAAATATAATTATAATGCTTTGTTTGTGAGGCGCAATATACAAGTTAGTACAATAACAGATCACCCTATATACCTACTACATTTATATGCTCTAATTGACCTATTCTTAAGGTTTTCAGTAATATTTTATTTTAAGAATATGTAAACAAATTGCAAAATTGTTATTTTTAAAACTGTTATAATATTTTATGGAAAAATATTATATTACCCTTATTAAATAAATACAATAGCGTCAAAATTTTGACGAACATTGTATCAAAGTTTTATTTGCACTTTAAAAAACAGTGACAACGTCGCTTAGAAATTTCAAAAATAAACGACAGTTATAAGGACTAAGAAGAAACTAATGAAAATATGTATAAAGATATAGGTCTTCCGCTTAAAAAAATTCAGTTGTGTAACGCCTCAAAAACAGAATACCGACAATACGATAATGAACAGTCGTCATTAATTAACAGAGTGAATCACCCTTTTAAAAGTGACACTATTTTCGACAACCACGAAACTCGCTATAAATAGGTTTAGAATTAATTGCAGGTTGAAGTAAACATACTGCTACATACAAAAATCATTTACATACTCTGTATAATAATAATAAATCACTGATAACCCCTGTATTTATTCGGGTTCAACCCTCTACCAGTTTCATGTTCTACAATATTTAAAGAATTCAGAGCTCATGACCCTATAGTTTTGGAATTCTTCGGAACAGTCCCTATATTTTACAACCCTATATTTAAATACCTTTCTCTGATGAAGACTTTTACAAGTTGTAGATCCTTCTTTTCGGTGGCACTCATCTTGTGACTCTTGTATACACTGTATGTAAATTACACGATAAAAAACACAAAGCAACAAGCTAAATTATAATATTATAAAGTGACTACACTGCGTACAGCTGCGTCTAACAAATACTTTTTGTCACTGGCTTGTCTAGGTGAACGTTAAATTTTAAAATTGCTGAAAGTGCTACCAACGAACAACCCAACTAGAAATAATATGTCAAAGTCCCTAGATTAATTCTCTACACACGGCATGCAAGTGTGCAATACTGGTTGCCTATACCAACATCAAATGTTTATGTTTGATTGTTTTTAATAAAAATAACCTTAAGATAGTCCTATAATACTGTTCATATTTTAAATTTATAACTATCAACTAAATCTATGTCAACGACTATTGAATTTTTGTAATTAAACTCTCGAAAATACTTTTATTAGAGAATGATGGAACAGTGTATTTTAAAAATATAGTCTTTGCCATTTCTATTGAAACACCACCTGTTGATTTTGCCTAAAATTTAGCAATTGCTAATAGTTTTCGGTTGATTGATAACGGCTTTTAGTTAGAAAATTGTCTGAATATCAACGTTGCCAAATTTACGATCAACAAGTGGTGTTTCAATAGAAATGGCAAAGACATTAATTACTTATTAACCTTTTTATAAAATAAATATAATTTGACTCGAAAACTACTAGAAAGTAATACAAAATAATATTGTTTATTCAAACAAATATATGTACATACATAAAAAACAGGCAACGTGCCAAAATAAACAATAGGGTATACAAATTTGGTAAAATATCCTCATATTGCCTGCACTGCTTTCAAGATTTTCCAAAGTCGTCTTAATGTCTGTTGAAACTTAGTCAAGTTTCAGCGAATTCCGCTTCTACTTGTCTCTCATTGCATTAACTCTGTTCTTACAAACATTTAAATAAATTTGCTGGTTCTTGAGAGAACCGAAACCACGTAGTTAAATAAATATTTCTAGAAACGTTGGCGCTATTTGTCGACCAATCACTGATTGTTATACAATACACAAGTTTAGATATCCTCATCTATCGTACCAACAATATGACAATCAATGTGATTTTTGAATAAAATGACCCCACGTGTTTAGAAAAAATATCTCAACGAAATTTGTCAAATAATTTTAATAATGACAAAATTTGGTGGAATTGAAGCAAGTTTCAAAAGACATGAAAACAGCTTTGGAAAATCCAGTTCAGAGATCATCTTTCATCTATGTGGTTTTTGCTTGCTTCATTTTTCGTTTCTACCAGTTCTTTCTTAGCTTTCTCTACCATGGAGCTGATACTTTTGATTCTGAGAATCCGTCAATTACCGCCATAGAATCATACAAATGGAAGGATCCTACAACTTGGCCCTTAATACAACAATAAACAAGAAAATGTCGATAATACCTTGGCAAATTCAATATTTAGCGTTGTCTGGACCTATTTCCTCCTTTGATGAAGTGAACATGTAGTTTTGCTTCATACTTCCACACTTTAAATTGAATTGTCCAGGCTGAATTTTCTGAACTGTTTTAAGGCTCTACCACACCTCAAGAAAATTTCTATTTTAAAAGATATGCAACTTGTAAAACACCCATGCTACCTCGTTATGACAGCTGCCACTCATCTCTAAGGGTTAAAATCGTTTACTTCGTTTACAATAAGTAACTAGTTTTATTACTGCTATTGTCAGCGGGGGAAGTGTATCCCAGCAGGTAGAGCAGATTAAGGAAGTATTTCTTACTAATCTTGGAATTTTTCAACCCAAAATCTTAGAAATTTAGGTAGGTACCTAGTTACCTCTCGGAATGTATTTTGAATGAAGCAAATTAATAATAATTCCGTTATTCAAAAAAATTTTTGGGGAGGCCAATGTTAGTACACGAAGGCGTTTGCGGAAAAAAAATGAAAAAAATAAAAACGATTCATAAAATTAAAACCTCTATTAAAAAGTTGCGTATCGGAAGTGCGAATTCCGGCAAAAATAATATCGTCGACGATGAACAAACGAAAACTGCAGATATATTACCTACCTGAAGTGTATGAAAGAAAAAATCGGATTTATTAATAAAGCTGTCACAGAGTAACGTAAACGTTATTGAAAAAACTATTTGTGGTCAGCGAACGTGTAGTGAATGGAGTAAAGAAAGGACAAAATGAGATACGGAATTAACACCGCAAATACCGTTAAAAGTATTGTGCATTCCGATAAAACTTTTATGAAAAAATTGCCCAAGTCTATACAATTTGGCATTGACAATGAAGAAAAGGTCAAAGAAAAATTTTACAAAGTTAGTGAAATTCGTGACTAGTTAGTATTACCACTTATATATCAGACAAATACACCCCTACGAAATACTGTAACAATAATAAATTTGATGTTTACCTGAGCTTTCGCAGAAATCATTTCATTATAGAATATTAGGCATTCCCTGAAGTTATTGGATTACGAGGACTTAGTTACTAATCCTTTGGGTTTTCAGGTAAAAATAAAGAATAAGTTTTGCAATATAATGCCAGCCAATCTAAAATGTAAAGAAAAATTCTAGAAGGTAAAGTGGCCGCCAAATTAGACCGAATGCTGCCTGGGGCGCGGTCGTGCTGTCACTCATTGAAGCGATTAGGATGGTTGTAACTTTTATTACTCTCCACTCTTTGGGCACATCATATCTTTTATATTTTATATTAGTAGGTATTAAGGGAAGGGAATTTTGTATAAATAGACGACAACTCCTTACGAACTCATTACTTGTCATTTGTCAGTGTAAAGTTACCTACTTGACTGTGTATCCATACTACTTCGTGTATTTTTGTGTTGCTTTTGTGAATTTTCGTATATATAATAGACAAATATTTTAGTGATTAGTGTTTAGTTAGTGTAGCATTTAAGTAGGTTAATTTAATAGTTTTTAGAATAGTGACGAGGTAAGTAGTGGACAGATATATATCTATTTGAAAACATGGGGCATTCTTCCAAGAAAAATCCTAGCGTTTGTGGTAAGCGCAAAAGTAAAAAACAACTAGTTAACAAACTGATAAAAAAACAAAAACAATCAAAGTCTAATAATGATAACACTGTGGTTCAAACAGAGAAAGAGCAGTTCACAAGTAACTTAGATTGTTATAAAACTGACAGCGATTTTTCAGATGATGTATTTCTTGTCGAGAAGGATACTCTTTCTACGACCAATACAAACACTTTTTTTCCTACTGGACGTAGAATTGTTGACATAGGCCACTTATTAACAACACTGAAATCAATCAGTCATAATATGTTGGGTTGCACTTTAGATAATATTGAAATAACTCATGAAAATTGTTACGGTTTAAAAAGTTTTTTCTATTACAAATGTGTGGAATATTCGGTAATTTTTGTACTGAACCTGAAAATCACATAAACAAAGTGAATGATGCAGCTATTTGTGGAGCTATATCAATAGGTGTAGGCTATTCTCAAATCTCAGAATTTTGTTCAGCTCTAGATATCCCTCAAATGTCCCAGGCGACATACCGTAAAGCTGAGGCTAGAGTTCTAAAGAGCATAGAAGGACTTTTAGAAGAAGAAATCAAAAAAGCAGGTAAAGAAGAATACCGATTAGCAGTTGAGGCGGGGGAGGTAGATAATGATGGCGTTCCATATATTACCGTTATTGTCGATGGAGCGTGGAGCAAACGCTCTTACAAATCCAATTACAATGCATTGTCTGGGGTAGGATGCGTAATTGGTGCCAGAACTAAAAAAATTCTTTATGTTGGAGTGAAAAACAAACTTTGTAGTTTCTGTAAAATCTATATGAAACAGAAAAAAGAAATTCCAACACATAACTGTTTTAAAAACTGGGAGCAGACATCTACGTCTATGGAAGCTTCAATTATCTTAGAGGGATTTAGAAAGTCTGAGGAACTTCACAATTTACGTTATAGGAGAATTATAGGCGACGGGGATAGTAGCGTATTAAAAAAAGTTCGGGCTGCAAAACCATATGGTGCACATTATTTTATCGAAAAAATTGAATGTAGAAATCACATACTTCGTAATTATTGTTCTAAAATTAGAGAAATAGTTAAAACAACGAAAGCAGATATCACTGTTAAAAACGTTCTTAAAAACAGTACTCTAAAATTTAGAACAGCTATTATAAGTGCTATCAAATTTCGCAAAAATGAGCCTATTCCTTTACATAAAAAAATTGAAAATCTTAAAAAGGATATTTTAAATGGGCCACAGCATATATTTGGAAATCACGAACACTGTGCAAGCTATTTTTGTCGTAAGAGTGGACAGTCAAATGATATTTTTTTTTCTACTTTTGCAAATAGTGTTTTATACGAACCTTACAAACAAGTTTTAAATAGAGTTGCAAATTTGTCGTCTAGTTTACTTTTCGATGTGGACAACAATGCTGTGGAATGCTACAATTCCGTCGTTAATAAATCTGTGGGAGGAAAAAGAATAAATTTTTCTGCACGAGGGTCGTATCAAGGGCGATGCTTTGCTGCGGCAATAAGTTATAATAATAAGGGTACGTTCTTAGTTCAGTTATTCAAAAACATTTTTGGGGAGGCCAATGTTGGTGTATATACGAAGGCATTTGCGGAAAAAAGATTGAAAAAAATAAAAACTGTTAATAAAAATAAAACCCATATCAAAATGATGCGTATCCAAAGTGCCGATTCCGATTACGGCAAAAATAATATCGCCGACGATGAACAAACGAAAACTGCAGATATATTACCTGAAGTGTATGAAAGAAAAAAATCGGAGTTATTAATAAAGCTGTCACAAAGTAACGTAAACGCTATTGAAAAAGCTACTTGTGGCCAGCGAATGTGTTGTGAATGGAGTAAAGAAAGGGCAGTTCGGTTAAATGCAAGCAATTTTGGAAAGGTGTGCAAAATGAGAGACGGAACTAACACCGCAAATACCGTTAAAGGTATTGTGCATTCCGATAAAACTTTTATGAAAAAATTGCCCAAGTCTATACAGTTTGGTATTGACAATGAAGAAAAGGCCAAAGAAAAATTTGAAGCTCTGACAAATTTGAAAGTTGTCTCCTGTGGATTATTTATAGATAACGAAAAAAAATTTTTAGGAGCTTCTCCAGATGGCTTAATAAATTCTGATTCAATTGCAGAGATTAAATGTTCATATGCAGCTTGCGATAAAAATATTAAAGAAGCTATTAAAAATAAAATCATTAATTATTGTACAATAAATGGAGATAATAAAATTATTTTGAACCCTAACCACAACTATATGTATCAGGTGCAGGGTCAACTGCATATAACTAAAAGAAAATGGTGTTATTTTATCATCTACACTAACGTAGATTTAGAATATTTTTTAATTGAAAGAAATGATGACTTCTGGTATAAACATATGGCAAATGAATTAGAAAAATTTTATTTAAATGCCATGCTACCAGAAATTATTGACTCGCGGTGGAGTCGAAATCAGCAACTCCGAAATATATTGAAAAAAGATTTATAGAGATGTGCTAAGTTTTTTTGGCAATAAGTGTAAAATGTTGAATTTTATGCTTTGAAGGGGTTTTTGGTTTTTTGTTATTATTTTTATTTTATTAATATGATTTTATTGATGATGATTTTTTCCTGTGATTCTTTAATAAATAATAAATATGTTTACTCAATGGATGGAGTAGTATTAATCAGTACTAAGTAATTCCGAATTGGATCTAAGTGTAATAGTAAACTCAGAATTGACAGTGAGTGTCATCAAAAAAGCAAATTCCCTTGGGTATTTACTACAAAGATCTTTCATAAAAGCAAGTGTAAGCGCCACGTTAAAGTACAGTAAATATGAAAAATATTTATTGGAATGTGTCCAATATATATTCAGAAGATTAGGGATGAAAGTAATTACGACTATTATAATGTTGATGACAATAATGATATGGAATCACCAACAAAACGACCACGATATGCTGATAACAATATACAAATGGCCAAAGAGGTGTGCGATGTTACCGCATCAGCCAGTTTGTACCTGTTTCCATTTGTGCAGTATAAGTACTCCTCTCTTAGGAATTGTAGTAATTTATAGCTGCAATTTTATTTGCTTTACTGCACATATTGTCATAGACAAATCCTACATCCCTAATATAGCTTGAATAAATGTATTCCAATAATAAAATTCCATTTAATTAATATCATTCATTTAATTAAAAGGGGGAATGAAATCAAGACAACAACGTAGAAATGTCATCATATTTCTGTAAAAATTTTACTCGTCTTTATCCTTCTTAATGCTATTCTCAGGTACTTCAAAGAATGGTCAAATAAGCTTAAGGTATTTAAAAGGTGGTATTGTGTGGGCCATAAATTACAGCTTAGCGCCTCAGCTAATATATTGGGTTGCCTAACTTACCAAAATTTGCCCAAAATGCTTTGCAGTTTTTTTACAATAACTAAAAGAAGTAAAATTTTAACAGAAAACGAAGACTGGCGCCTAAAGTAGAAAAAAATTCTCTATCACCTCGATATTTTTTAAAAGCACACCGAGTTATAGTTTTCGCTAAAAATCCGCTGGGGTTTTACGCACTTTATTTTTTATTTTAAAAACTGCTACGTTTTTTAAAAAATACAAGACGCTTCCTTAAAGATTTTTATATCATGAGCACGCACATGTATCGCCCTGCTCTTCAACTGTTAAAATAAAGGCGCAAAATAGGTTGGCGTTTTGCCTTATTTTGGCATCTTTTAATGACTGTGTGGCGGAGCCTTAAGTCACTTTCAGATTTGGTCCATGGTCTGAAAACAACAAAAAAATTAATACTCCATTTTTTGATACAAAAAAATCTAAAGTTAAAGAATAAAATTGTAAAGTTCTTTGACGTGGTGCATCCTGACTCTATTAAACAAGGAATAATTAAGCACCACATCATAAAGGACCCAATTTTTGATCCAAAACTAATGCCAAAAGGTCAGTGGCGTTACTAGGAAAATTTTAAATAGGGGCTACTACTGAATTAGTGGTTAAGCTTATTTACATAATATAATAAACAAAATATCGAAGATAATTATTTTTTTTATCTCGAAATTTGTCAGTTAAATAGTTTTAATATAAACTCAAGAAATTTTGGACAACGAAACTGTTATATAAACAGAAAAGGTAATATTAATCCCACCCACTCCTACTTTTAAATTTCATTGGCTTATTTGATTTACTGTGAAATGAAGATTGATTTTTACTTTGTCAAGTTACTTTGACAAGTGTTCGAATCTACAATTATTGAAACAAACTACTAAGTGGCCCCGCCCACCCACCCGGGTTTTTTCTCCATCAATCATTTTATTGGACGAAAAGTGGATTTTATTTTGATAAATAGTGAAATATAAACAAAAAACTAAAAGTAATCCCACCTACTTCCATTCTGGAACTTCATTGGCCTATTTTATTGGATGAAAAGTAAATTTTGTGTTGATGAATAGTGGAATCTAAACTAAAAAGGTAAAACTAATCCCACCCACCAGCACTTTTTAATTTCATTGGTTTATTTTATGTACTGTGAGATGAAGATTGAATTTTACTTTGACAAGTGACAATCTACAATTATTGAAACAAATTTCGAAGTGGTCTCGCCCACCTACACAACCATCCAATTGACATGGGGTGGGTGGGCGGGGTTTATATTTTCCTTTTTTTTTTTTCTTAATATACATAGTATTTTTTTACAACACGATACTCAAAAATGTGTTTTTAATTTCTTGTAAAGAAATAAGAATTTTGCAATTAAGCTCCGCCCCCTTGGTTCACGGCGATTAAAAAAGATCATTACAACTGAGACATTCCTACATTATGTCTTTTTGTTTTAATACGTGTAGACTCTTTTCACAACATGAAACTTAAAATATATTTAAAATGGAAAATTTGTATAAGGAAATGTCGATTTTGCAATTAAGCCCCGCCCATAATTGCAAAATCCATATGAAAATATGGCTATGTATATTAAGGAAAAAAAGACAAAATATAAGCCCCGCCCACCCACCCTGTCTCAATTGTGATGAATTTTTTATTCGTTGTCAGACCGAGGGGCGGAGCGTAATTCCAAAATACAAATATACCATTTTAAATATGTTATAAGTTTCTTGTTGTGAAAAGATGAATAAATATTTCAATATTTTTTTTTTGGAATTTAAATTTTATTTTGTCAATTGTCGAATTTAACATTAAAAAATTCCAAAGTGGCCCCGCCCACCTCTTTTTCTTTTGGCTCAGTCATTTTATTGGAAGACGACTTGGTTTTGTACTGTTAATTAGTGGAATATAAACAGAAAGGGTAAAACTAATCCCTTCCACTCCACTTTTAAATTTCATTGGCTTATTTTATTTACTGTGAGATGAAGATTGAATTTTACTTTGACAAATGTTTGAATCTACAATTATTGAAACAAATTTCAAAGTGGCCCCGCCTACCCACTCAACCATCCAATTGAGATGGGGTGGGTGGGCGGGGTTTATATTTTGCCTTTTTGTTCTTAATATGCATAGTATTCTTTGCATAACACGATACTCAAAAACATGTTTTTAATTTCTTGTAAAAAAAGAAAAATTTTGCAGTTAAGCTCCGCCCTCTTGGTTCACGGTGAATAAAAAAATCATCACAATTAAGATAGGGTGGGTGGGCGGGTTAACATTTTGACTTTTTGTTTTAATACATATATGCAGACATCTCAGAACATGTTTAAAATGGAAAATTTGTATAAAGAAATATCGATTTTGCAATTAGGCTCCGCCCCTATTTTAAACATGTTTTAAGTTTCTTATTGTGAAAAGATGGCTATGTACATTAAGAAAAAAAGGTAAAATGTATACTCTTAGTTTTTTTTTTTTTTTGTCAAAAACTATCATTCTTGCAGTAAATTTTGTTTTGCTGTTGCAGCATGTTGGAAATTGTATTGAGCCATAAGTAGAATTTTTCCTAATTTCTTTCTTCATGACTTCCAAAACATTACCAATGCAAAAATTATTATTCTTTAAATAATCTCTCAAATTACAAAATATTTGCTCTACTAAAATTTCTATTTGGAACGCGTTTTCTGAAGCGTAATGTAAAGCACCAGTTTTATATTCTTTTAATGCCACAAATTTTGCATAATTTTCATTACAATTCTTCTTAGAGACAAAAGCAACAATACATTTTTTGCAAAAATTTTGATTTTTTGTCAAACTTGTAGCAACGTAACTTGTGCAACTGTACAAAGCATTTTTTTTCTCTCAAAGAAAGTTCTTTTTTCTTCAAATTCCAATTTCTAGGTAAAGCTAAATTTTAAAAGTTTTAAGTCATAGTTAAATTGAATGGCCGTAGGGACCGGATGTCTTGACCGAATTTGGGAAAATACATTTTGTTAACAATCTTGAGAAAATCTCGATGTTTATAAATATGAGTATTTTGTTTCGTTGAAAAACAAGTTTTGCAGAGTAATAGTTCAAATAGTAAGCTCTCCATTGAATCTTTTTAGTTTGAATCTCCCCTGTCAAATAATTATCTTTCTTCTCAACCTCTTTGGCCTGAATTTGTTTCGTCTAAACCGCTAAACTGCAAACAACCACCTGACTATGTAACGCTACAGAAAGAAAATGATACGCTACCAAAAAAAGTCAGAATGTAAAAAATTATTAACAAATTGTGGTTGTGACTACGGACGATAGAAAAAGACATTATAAAGAACATACGAAAAGATAAAAGGAAGACAAGAACAGAGGGAAACATAGAAACAGAAATTATGAGTTTCAGAAAAAATGACAGAATATCCTAAAAATAATAAATGAAGAATGTATAGTAAGTACACAGGTAAGTCTAACAGGTAAAATAAATCTACCACTTAAGTGTGTAATTTTAATGTAGGTACCTACAGATTTTTTTACAAACATACAACAAAGTTAAGATTCGAACAAAATACTGAACATTATAACGAAGTAGAAACAAAAGCGTCAAATTTTTACAATTAAAAAGCCAGTTTGTACTTTACAGCTGATAAAGTTTCGTTTCTAAAGTAATGACTTTTTTGTGAGTGCTACTGATAGGAAGACCATTAAGAAGAGAATAAAACTGCTTCGCTGTTGTAATATTAAATTTACACATAAAATACTTTCTAAAAACATTTCGCGCTATTTCAGCCAGAAGAGGTACACGTGGATGATTTTGTAACCTTTTTAGAGTTTCGTCAGATAGTTTTCTAGATTTAGCAAGTTTTGACAATAATTTATGTACTTCAGAACACGCAAAACAATCTAAAAGACCATTAACGTTGTAAATAGTACATCTATCAGGTTTAAGTTCTAGATTCGGAATGACATAAAAAATAAAAACCAACACTAAATTATCGAACTGGTAGGTCCACTGCGGAAAGAAATCCGAACAACCATGTATCCTCGAATGGTGGTTCCATAACATTGTGTTATCACGTTCCTCTGTATTATCTTCAAGATCCATGTGCAAAAGAAGCTTAAATAAATCGTTGTAACCATATTTCCAAAAAACCGTTTCCAGGGTTTTGGTTTCAATTTTTAAACCGTGTAATATTAGGTAGATGAATAATTCTGTTGTTATTGATTTATTGTTCGCTTCAGATATACAATGAAAAAGTGTGTTACTCTTTAGGGTACTAATAAAATCAATGACACTTTGACGCACCTTCGCACTTTTTTCAAGAAGAAGAATTAATTTTCGCAGATTAAGATGTGAGCTAAACACTTCCTCGTATTCGTATTTGTTATACTCACCAATGCAAGACGGCGGATATGAAGTAAAACTGTAAAACACCAAGTTTTCGAAAATGTCAGATACAAGCGTGTTGCACTTTTCTACAAGAATTTCCAAATAATCACTGTCTGGAGCCAACAAATCATACAAAAGTTTAGCAAAATCAACTTTTTCTGTCTCGTTTACCAAAATATCCATGCCACGTTCAAGGATTGTGTGGAACAGGGGTGATTTTTTCTTTGCAAGTATTAACAAAACTTTAAACATGATGTCACAAGGTATATGTTCATCAAATGTGTATAAAAATAAAAGTTCTTGAATGAAAGCAGGTTGTCCATATATTACAGCACTCTCAAACACATTATGTGCGTCTGCCAATTCGCTAAATGGATCAGCACCATAACACAGCAGAGTAGTTATGATTTCGTCGTTATTTTGTTTACTGGAATTAAAAAGTGCCTCTTGTAACGCCGTAATACCATATCGGCTTTCGAAGTTCACGTCCGCTCCGTTGTCCAGCAAAAATTTTGTTATTCTGGATGAAAATTTAACCGCGTCGTGTAGATAAGGTTTCTTTGGATCTTTCTCTTTCAGCGAAACACCTCTTTCAATTAACACCAGTGCGTAGTACTCATCTTGTTTGTTATAGTGGCCAAGTGCGTACCTTAATGCTGTTTCACCAAGGGTGCTGCGAACCTCTAGATCGTCTTTGTCGTGGAACTGTAACAGATACTCGAAAATCGACCTCCTGGAATAAATACTACTCTAAAGTATATTTGTAAAAAAAAAACTGTACGTTACCGATTGCGTAGAATCGATTCTTGAAGCAACGTAAAACCTGCTTCGTTTCGTTTTCTGATTAACGATTTTGAAAAAAGGTCTTTTACTCTGTCCAGATAACCGTGTTTGATGGCAATTGTTAAGTTTTCTATGAGCGGACAAGATTTTCGTGGAAAAACGTAATTTCGCAGACGCTTCATTGTCAAACATTCTAAAAACGTGGACGTGTTGATTCCTGTACCATGTAATGTTAACCAGATTGATCACACTGCGCGTTTTTGTGTAAATGCAGGCTCTCTACATCCTGCGCACGACTAACTTATGGTCTATTTTTAAAAGTTTTCGTGGAAACTGAGGTTTATTCTTGTAATATTTACTTTATTCATTAGCGCGAATGAGTCAACAGAGGACTGTTTGTTGCTTTTTCTTTCTGATTAGTTGTTTGATTTCTGAACCTGAAACTGAAAAAGGACACTATACTTCGTTTACCGAATGGATGGAGTTATAAGTGCGTAATCACGGCATGATCTTTAAAAATCCTGATTAAGTTGAATTGGTCACGACCGTTTTCACATAGGTCAATAAATTGTACCTGTTTTTCCGCTTAGATCAACTAGAGCTTTCATTGCTACTTTCTTGCTTTCTATAGAACTAGACTTAAAGTGTGCACTCTGATCAGGAAAGTATCAGTCAAGTTTTCTCGTGTTCATAAAGCAATCGGCTATTAGTGTATTTTTACTATATAATATTGTTGCACAATCTGAAGAGAACTCCTTAAACTTCTTAATCTGACACTCTAAAAAAATGACTACATTGGCGTGTTCCGCAAAGTTTAGTTGTGAAATTTATTAAAAATTCCACGAATCAGAACCCAGAAGGAATGACGAATTTTGAAACAGCATTTGACCAAATAAGTGTCCTCCACTGGCAGGAACACGTTTACATAATCTTTTTCAAGTACTAAGGCATCCTGTTCGCTATATTATTGAGGAATGTGATACAAATATATTACTATTTTTTCTTGAATTAAATTCCTCGACACGATGTTCCATATACATCTATACAAATACATATTTGAATATTACAAATTTAAACACACAAAGAAAAGGGAAATTATAAGTGCTATGGATTTTAACCACTCGAATTCCTGGGGCTTACATCCATTCCCGCAAAGGACTAGCCAATTAGACAGCCTGATTCACTAGGATTGAAAGTCCAGTGTTGCAGATAAACATTTACATAAAAACGTTAAGGAAAAAAATTGGTCCATACTCATTTAGAGAGAACTTCTCTCACCCATGAAATACCGGATGTCTGGAAAATGGCGGATTTTAGCAGGTTTGTCAAAATCAGTTTTATCTTAGCAGGTACTAACTAGTGTACCTAGATAATAATTATGAGAAGAGTAAAAGGCAAAGAGCGGGATTCATTTCTATTGGTGGATCATTTTTTCCACGGCCTATTTAAAAGAAATTTTATATTAATGTTGTCAATTTGACATTCATAACCGTTCGTCAAGTAGAAATTTGAACGATGACCGGCTGCAGCGTGAAAAGTTGTAAAAATAGAATATTAAAAATTAGTAACAAAAAATTAAGCCAGAAATTATACTTGCAAAAAGTGTGTAATGCAAATTTAGGGAAAAATTTGGCAAATATATTAACAAAGGATCAAATTGAGGCTCTAAAAGGGAAGAAATTCAAAAAATGTTCCGAGCAAACAATCACTAAATCTTTGAAGCTTAAATTTGGATGAGGGACCAGTGGATATAACTCATTAAGAAAAATGAAACTACCATTTCCAGCTATTCGAACATTGAATTTTCATTTACAAAATTTAGAGTTTAAATCTGGAGTTTTGGATGAAATTATAGGGTTTTTGAAAATTAAATGTGAATCGCTTAATCAGGATTTTGGGAGGGATTGTATGGTGGTATTGGACGAGATGGATATAAAAGCTGGGGTTGATTAATGTGTACGTAGTGGGACGTATATTAGGGAATTACTTTACCAAAACATGAGCGAGTAGCGACAAAAGCGTTGGTAATTCTTGTGGACGTATTACTACCCGCTGCAAACAAATTGTTTCATACTATTTTACTGGAGACAGTATGAATGGGGCAGTTCTAGCTGATTTTCTCAAAGAAGTTTTTAAGAAAATCAGTGCAATTGATTTGAAGGTTCATTCTGTAACCTCAGATATGGGATCGACGAATCAAGCTATGTGGAAAACCTTTGGGATAAAAGCTGGAAGAAAATGAGAAACAAATAATTATGTCCTAAACCCAGTTAATGACGAAAAAATTTACTTTTTAGAAGATGGGCCACATTTATTAAAAAATATAAAGCAATGTTTGGTACAAAACAAAATCATTCAATTATCAAATGATTCTGTTGAAAAATATAAACTATCTTCTGATTTGGTTGACGTGCAACATTTTTGTGAAGAAGAAGGCAAATTTGAGCTGCAATTTGGGCGTCTAAATTAAATGTGGATCTTTTACAATCTAACCATTTTAACAAAATGAAGGTGTCAAATTCTCTAAACGTTTTGAATTGAAATGTTAGTTGTGGAATAAAATTTGATGCGGAAGAGGAGAGAGCAAATCTTCTCTAACGACAGCCGTTTTTATTGATGTTGTACATAGATGGTTCCAGTTGATTAGTTCTAGATCAACTGTTTAGGCCTTGAGCAAGTTTAATATGGCTGTCTATAGGGAAACTATAGAATTCCTTCAAGAGTTCATTAAGTTATTTTTAAATTTAAAAGTCGCTCTTGACAAATTTGGAAAAACAGTTTGGAAGCCTATTCAAACAGGTGTTATACTGACTTCAACATCAATTTTAGACCTGCAAAACTTGTTCTTGAACGAAAAAAAATACTCATATTTATTAACATCGAGATTTTCTCAAGATTGTTTACAAAATGTATTTTCCCAAATTCGGTCAAGACATCCGGCCATTCAATTTAAATATAACTTAAAACTTTTATCAGTTTCTCAATATTTGGACGTTTCAAATAACTCAAGTTAAGAAACGGACAAAACAACACCTTTAGTTGGTTTTTTGAGTTATATTAAAAATAATAACAGAAAAGAAAACGATGTTCCTAGAGGAAAAGAAAATTTAGCTTTACCTAGAAATTGGAATTTGAAGAAAAAAGAACTTTCTTTGAGAGAAAAAAATGCTTTGTACAGTTGCACAGGTTACGTTGTTACAAGCTTGATAAAAAATCAAAATTTTTGCAAAAAATGTTTTGTTGCTTTTGTCTCTAAGAAGAATTGTAATGAAAATTATGCAAAATTTGTGGCATTAAAAGAATATAAAACTGGTGCTTTACATTACGCTTCAGAAAACGCGTTCCAAATAGCAATTTTAGTAGAGCAAATATTTTGTAATTTGAGAGATTATTTAAAGAATAATAATTTTTGCACTGGTAATGTTTTGGAAGTCATGAAGAAAGTAATTAAGAAAAATTTGACTTATCGCTCAATACAATTTCCAACATGCTGCAACAGCAAAACAAAATTTACTGCAAGAATGATAGTTTTTGAAAAAAAAAAAAAAACTAAGAGTATACATTTTGCCTTTTTTTCTTAATGTACATAGCCATTTTTTCACAATAAGAAACTTAAAACATGTTTAAAATAGGGGCGAAGCCTTATTGCAAAATCGATATTTCCTTATACAAATTTTCCATTTTAAACATGTTCTAAGTTTCATGTTGTGAAAAGATGTCTGCATATATGTATTAAAACAAAAAGTCAAAATGTTAACCCGCCCACCCACCCTATCTTAATTGTGATGATATTTTTATTCACTGTGAACCAAGAGGGTGGAGCTTAACTGCAAAATTTTTCTTTTTTTACAAGAAATTAAAAACATGTTTTTGAGTATCGTGTTATGCAAAGAATACTATGCATATTAAGAAAAAAAAATGACAAAATATAAACCCCGCCCACCCACCCCATCTCAATTGGATGGTTGAGTGGGTAGGCGGGGCCACTTTGAAATTTGTTTCAATAATTGTAGATTCAAACATTTGTCAAAGTAAAATTCTCATCTCACAGTAAATAAAATAAGCCAATGAATTTTAAAAGTGGAGTGGAAGGGACTAGTTTTACCCTTTCTGTTTATATTCCACTAATTATCAGTACAAAACCAAGTCGTCTTCCAATAAAATGACTGAGCCAAAAGAAAAAGAGGTGGGCGGGGCCACTTTGGAGTTTTTTTAATGTTAAATTCGACAATTGACAAAATAAAATTTAAATTCCAAAAAAAATATATTTAAATATTTATTCATCTTTTCACAACAAGAAACTTATAACATGTTTAAAATGGTATATTTGTATTTTGGAATTACGCTCCGCCCCTCGGTCTGACAACGAATGAAAAATTCATCACAATTGAGACAGGGTGGGTGGGCGGGGCTTATATTTTGTCTTTTTTTCCTTAATATACATAGCCATCTTTTCACATCAAGAAACTTGAAACATGGTTAAAATTGTACATTTTTGCAAGAAAATATGAATTTTGCAATTATGGGTGGAGCTTAATTGCAAAATCGACATTTCCTTATACAAATTTTCCATTTTAAATATATTTTAAGTTTCATATTGTGAAAAGAGTCTACACGTATTAAAACAAAAAGACATAATGTAGGCCCGCCCACCCGCCCTGTCTCAGTTGTAATGATCTTTTTTATTCGCCGTGAACCAAGAAATTAAAAACATATTTTTGAGTATCGTGTTGTACAAAAAATACTATGTATATTAAGAAAAAAAAGGAAAATATAAACCCCGCCCACCCCATGTCAATTGGATGGTTGGGTAGGTGGGCGAGACCACTTCGAAATTTGTTTCAATAATTGTAGATTGTCACTTGTCAAATTAAAATTCAATCTTCATCTCACAGTACATAAAATAAACCAATGAAATTAAAAACTGCTGGTGGGTGGGATTAGTTTTACCTTTTTAGTTTAGATTCCACTATTCATCAACACAAAATTTACTTTTCATCCAATAAAATAAGCCAATGAAGTTCCAGAATGGAAGTGGGTGGGATGACTTTTACTTTTTTGTTTATACCTATTTCACTATTTATCAAAATAAAATCCACTTTTCGTCCAATAAAATGATTGATCGAGAAAAAACCCGGGTGGGTGGGCGGGGCCACTTAGTAGTTTGTTTCAATAATTGTAGATTCGAACACTTGTCAAAGTAAAATTCAATATTCATCGCACAATAAATAAAATAAGCCAATAAAATTCAAATGTGGAGGTGGGTGGGATTACTTTACCTCTTTTGTTTAAATTTCCCTATTTAGCAATATAAAATCCACGTTTCGTCCAATAAAACGAGTGATCGAGAAAAAAACCGGGTTGACAAAATAAAAATCAATCTTCATTTCACAGTAAATAAAATAAGCCAATGAAATTTAAAAGTAGAAGTGGGTGAGATTAATATTACCTTTTCTGTTTATATAACAGTTTCGTTGTCCAAAATTTCTTGAGTTTATATTAAAACTATTTAACTGACAAATTTCAAGATGAAAAATAATTATCTTCGATATTTTACAAAAGCAGTTAAAACTGTCCTTCAACCTTATTAATTATATAATTATTTTTATTAGTTTATTATATTAACAAAAATCTTGGACATCAATGTCATTCCACTGTCAAAAAGTGTGAAACACATTTTTGACACTGCGAGTACCCTACTACATTCAAATTTTTGAAATTACAGAAAAATGATGTTCGAAATGATATTTCCGCCACTGTATAATTAATTCTAGCCCTACTTTTTACAGTACATTTTTTATCGAAAATAACTTCACTTTTACAGTGTAGCGTTCACCTAATGTTTTTGTTCGCAACTACAATTAATAATCCCCTGACTTGACCTTCAACCACATGTTATTTTCGTAGGTTATTTATTACACATCTGTATTTAAAATTTTGGACGTCCGGCTCAACTCATTCTTCAAAACCAGTACAAAATTTCAAGTTATTATGAATAGTTTCTGAGTTATTCAATCGACTCTATAGTTTTTTGCAAGCGTGTTTTTTATTTACCTTTTTCGGATGAAGCAGATCTTTTTTCGGCGGTATTCATCTTGCTTACACTATACACAAAATACATTACAAAAAAAAACACAACACGTTCAAATCACTAGTGAAAAAATAAAATTATTCAACATTGGATATTCTATGTTGAACCAAGATTATTTACTAAATGAAAGAATCTATTAAATGACCTTGTGCTGAACGATGTTTTTGTTTTGACAGTCGTTGGTTTAAAATTATTGAAAGTGCTGCCAACCAAACTAAATATCACCTAAAACTAAAAACAACTAACTTGATTACACGCATGTAATACTGGCTGCATAGAGAGCAGACTACATAAAAAAAGATTAAAAAATGATAACATCTACAGAGATCGGTCATTCTGCTTTAATAAAAATTATAAAGATTAACAATTATACACCTTTATTCTTATTTTTCTTTTGATTTAACTTAAATGTAGTAACTTCTCCCTTGGATGTTACCACAACTCCTGTGTTTAATTTTGTACTCAGTTCATCTGACACGGTTTCATTCTTCTTCACTTTTTTCACATTTTTTGTGAGCTGAACGTCATTTGGACTTTCTACAAAAAAAAAAAAAATCCCACTATTTCAAAATTTCAATGTTGTCACTACTTACTGAGAGTTGTGTAAATTGGAATACTTAATCCTCGGTGCGCACGCAAATTTAAGCTTCTCACATTTCCGAAACCACCTGGAAATTCCTTGTCTAACCCATTAACGACGTAGTAAGCATTTTCCACCAACTCTTCCACTTTCATGTCGCTATGACCGATCTGCACCATAAAGCTGTCCCCTTTTGAATGCAAATACAGCGGCGTTTTCCTCAAAGTTTGGTCAATGTGATCTTTTAATTTAGTCGCCCGCAATTTAACAGCAGTGGGAATTTTACGTTTCTTGTAAAATATTTTTCCACACTTTTTCACAGTTTTCCCACTGATTTTACCATCAACCAAGAATGCATCATACAGCTCCACCAACCGGTTTTTCAGCTCAAAGGTTTCATAATCCGTGCGGAACTCGTGAAAAGTCATGATTTTCTTAACGTTGTTGACTCCTTTTTGTCGCAGTAACTTCTCGTAGTGCTCCAGGTGTTGTTCATGGCTTTTATTTGGAATTCCCTTCACGTCGGCCACAATCAAACAGATCTCGCTATCAGGAGTGAAAACTGAGTGTTTTAAAGGAATGCGGGCTATTCTAGAGTGGTTGCGGGGCACTTTGAAGCTATTAATTTGGATGTAGATGGGAAACTGTTCGTCGCTGAAGAGATTATTTTTCAACTTGGGATTTTCAGAAGTAAATTTAATGAGACCTTCGACACTTTTTTGTACGTTGGTGGGTTCTATGCGGAATTTTTCGGCCCATTCGGTGATTTCTTCGCCGAATTCGTATTCTTCAGGACTCGGTGCTGGTGGAAGTTTCGTTTTTGTTTTGATTTTCTTAGCAATTGCTTTTTTAAGTGGTGCTGATTTGAGGGGTTCTTTCCTCTTTATTTTCTTTTCGGGGTTTAATTTCGCGAGTAGGGCACTTTTCAACATGATTGCGGTTTTTGTACAGAATATAAACACGTGCGAACTGATACACTGATTTTTAGGTTATATGATTGACGTTTGACTTGAGTTAAAAATAAGGAAGTGGCTAATGTTCCGACCGCGGCACCGCGGCCTTCTTGTAAGATAGAGCCATCCATTGAGAGAAAACGAAAATACTGAAGGTGTAAAGTTGGTTGCATTCTCGAATTATAAACAATTTGTAATTTTTATATTTTTTATTCTAGAAATTTTTGTTGAAGTTTTACCAAGTTCACCGACACAGAACATATCTAGAAAAGAAAACCGAAACATATATACTGCTTTTATTGATTATAAGAAAGCTTACGATTCTGTCCCTCATTCCCAGCTATGCAAAATTCTGGAATTATACAAAATTGATACTAAAATCTGTACTTTTCTCAAATGTTCCATGGAATTTTGGAAGACCACCCTCCAAATAACCTTAAATGAACAAACAATTCAGTCAGATCCAATAATGATCCGAAGAGGAATTTTTCTCTTAGCCCGTTATGGTTCTGCTTAGCAACAAATCCCCTCTCCGATATCCTGAACAGCTACAATTATGGGTTCAATATATGAATTAACAAACAAAGAGAAAACAGAATAAGTCACGTGTTGTATATGGATGACATAAAAACATATGCAAGTACACAAAATCAGTTAACAAACCTATTAAATCTGACTGAACAGTTTTCCGGTGATATTGGTATGTGTTTTGGTATTGAGAAATGTAAGACCCAAGCAATCAGAAAAGGTGTCCAACACCAAGTACCACATATAACCCAGAATAACGAAATAATCGAAGCCCAAGAACGAAATGATACATACAAATATCTGGGTTTCTGTCAATCTTCCCATATCAATCATAGCAAAACGAAAACACAGTTGAAAGATCAATACCTAGCGAGATTAGAATTAATATTGAAGACACAGTTAAATGGAAAAAATTTAATGAAAGCAGTGAATACATTCTGCGTTCCACTGCTAACATATTCTTTTGGAGTCATTAAATGGTCCAAAACTGATCTTGAAAATTTAAACATCGCAACAAAGAAAATCTTCACACAGTATAGAAGGCATCATCCAAAATCGTCCATTGAAAGATTCTCGTTACCAATACAGATTGGAGGAAGGGGTTTCCAGAACCTAGAAAACTTATATCAGAGACAAATCTCAGATCTGAAGAAGTATTTCTTGAAACGAGCAGAAAGAAATGAAATGTTTCGCACTATCACAAGGGCAGATTTGAACCACACACCCTTAAATCTGTCGAACACCGAAGAAATCCACACCCCCCACACAATAGACAAAATAATAAGTGGGCTAAAACAAAAACAACTACATGGAAAATTCTACAAAGACTTAGAAGAAACTCATGTCAATAAGAAGATGTCATTGATTTGGTTAAAAAAATCAAGTTTGTATGCCGAAACAGAAGGATTTATGTTTGCTATTCAAGACCAAGTAATCAATACCAAGAATTACAGAAAATACATCATCAAAGATCCGAATATAAGAAACCACTGCTGTCGCCTCTGCAAAGCAAAACCTGAAACGATCTAGCACATAATCTCCTCCTGCAGCATCCTGGCACAAACTGACTACAAAGCTAGACACGACAACGCAGCCAAAATCATTCACAAAGAATTTAATTTTAACTTAATCGAAGATACGACACCCTATTACACTTACATTCCATCTCCGTTCCTTGAAAATAACAAATACAAATTATACTGGGATCGCAAAATACTTACAGACTTAAACATTACAGCTAACATACCAGACATCATACTTATCAAAAAACACATGAACGAAGCCATTCTCATTGACATTGCTGTTCCTAACACAAACAACATTATTCAAACATACCACACCAAGATTTCAAAATATCTACAATTATCGATAGAAATGAAATCCATGTTGAATCTTAAAAAAATTTCAATTCTACCCCTAGTTATCTCTAATGTAGGTGTAGTTCCAAATAGCTTAGTTGAGAATTTAAAGTCTTTACATTTGAATGATTCAATAATTATCAAAATTCAAAAAGCTGTTTTGTTAGGAACATGTCATATTACGATTGTGGTGCTGTGGTGTGTGCTGTGAGCTCGTCGTAATTGATTGGTTTTATAGTGGTTTTTCTGTGAAACTATTCTGAATTGTTGGTTCATTATACACGAATGAAAGGTCTGATCCTCTTGGGGGATTAGTGCATCCATAAGTTAAAGGGTTTGTGCTAAATTAGCGAAAATTGTTAGGTTTATTATCTGCAGTGACCTAGTAGTATATTTTAATCACTTGTTTTTACATTCTGCATAGTAGATAGGCGCTGATTTGTGTTTTTCACTGCCTCCCTTGTGGAGGCGGTGTTTTCTTTATTTTTTTCTAGTTGTTGCTTTATATTTGGCTATTTGCAAATTATCACCTAATGGCTGTCAAGTGTCACAAATGTTTGCGTACAATCGGACGTACGGATAATTACATCTCCTGTAAAGATTGTTTCCATAATTATCACGTTTCATGCGATGGTGTATCAGATACTGCATTTGATAATATGCAGGATGCAGGACTCCTTACTAGCTTTTGTTGTACATCTTGTAAATCGAAACCTGGTGTGATCTCTGGAGTTTGCATTAAATCTGGTAATACAGTTTCTTTGGAAGACAAGGTTGGTACCTCTCCACTGACCAGTTTAGAGAATTAGTGGCAGGCATTGTTAAAAGTGAATTGCAGCCTTTCGTGGATAAAATTGATATTTTACAAACAGAAATTGAAATGAAGTCGTAAAATTAACCAAAGATTTACATTCTTGTCCAGTTACTGAAAATAATTTTACACCTATTGATGTGACCACTAAAACGTCTTATGCTGAGGCTATCGCTAAAAATTCTCAGCAAACTGTTATTATCAAACCAAAGGATAAGACTCAAACAGTTAACAAAACTAAGTCTGATATTATGACTAGCGTGGACCCTGTTGAATCTTCGGTTAACATTGGCAAAGTGAAGAACCTTAAAGATGGCTGTGTGCTATTAGGTTGTGATGATCTTAAGCAATTTACACAATTAGCGAAAAATAAACTTTCTTCTGCCTATGATATTTGCGAAATTAAAACGCTGCGTCCTCGAATTAGAATAGCTGGTATATCTGATGACGTCGATAAAGACAGTGTTATAAATTATTTGACTAAACAGAATGAATTTATTTTTGATAACAGTAACGAATACAAGTTATTAAAATACTCTCCTGTAAAAAATAAGTCTGATCGCTTCCAAGCAGTTATCGAAGTAGATATTCGCACTTATAAAAAAGCTGTTAGCATTGGTCATTGCTTAATTGGTTTAAATAGCTGTTCAATTTTTTGTGGTATCGATATTTCCCGCTGTTTTAAGTGCAATGGTTTCAATCATTCGTCTAAATACTGCAAAAATAATTTATGTTGTCCTCGTTGTACATGAGTGAAGTGAGTGTAAAGCAGAGACTCTTTGCTGTATTAATTGTAAAAACATAAAAGGTACTGTTACTTCTGAACTTATTAATACCGATCATGCTGCATGGGACCGCGATAGTTGTCATGCATATAACACGGCCATCAACAAAATAAAACAAGATCTCTTTCGACTATCGGCATAGCAATCAACTTCCATATTATCCGAGGATGGACCTTTCTTCTTCACAACAAATCACGATTTAAGTTCTTCCTGGGAAAGCTTAGCTTCACACATTAACATCAACGCTTCCCTGACTTCTTCTACACGATCAGTATCTGTATATTCTTCTTCTCATACTCGCTCTCCTAATATTCTAGTTTACTATCAAAATGCTAGAGATTTAAATTCCAAACTGGCAGACCTACGTAATTCAATGATTCGTTGTGATTTTGATCTTGTCTGCATTACGGAGACTTGGCTTAGCTCTTCGATTTTTGACTCTGAATTTTGTCCAGATCATTTCCAAGTTATTACATCTGATAGGAACTTTGAAAAAAAAATGAATGTGTCAAAAGGGGGAGGCGTCCTGTTAGCTGCTACTTGCGAATATACAGTATCTCAGATAGATTTACAGTCTCGAGGATTTGGATCGTTGCAATTCACGGATTTAGTTTGTGTCAAATGTTCTGCAGCCAGTTTCACTATCTATATTTTCGTAATTTATATACAACCTAAAGCCAATGTCGAGGAATATGAATTGTTATTTCATTTAATCTCTGCCACAACTAAATTATATAATCAGCGAGTTCTCCTAATTGGGGATTTTAATATTTCTAATTATCAATACAGTTCATCTGGTTTTGTAACGGGTAATAGCCCTCTGTCATCTTTATATAACTTTTTATATTTTTGTGATTACCGACAGTTTAACAATATCATCAATGCTAATGGGTGGTGTCTCGATTTAGTGATTTCAGGAATCCACTGTTTAGTTGAAAAGGCTTCTGATTCTCTGGTTAATGAGGATCTTCATCACCCATCCCTTTTGATCACTATAAAGCGGCAGAAACCAAAACAGAAATCGATTAACAATAAGAGATCTGCTCATAAACAGTGGAATTTTCGAAGAGCTGATTATCCTGGTTTATATAAATATTTGACAGATTACAATTGGGAGTTCCTTAATAACATTAATGATGTCAATCAGGCTTGCTCTCTTTTTTATGATCAGATTAACATGGCACTTGAATTGCATGTTCCGAAAACCCATCGCTTACGGAAATCATCTTTTCCTCCTTGGTTCACGGCTGCAATCATCAGCAATTTAAAACTTAAATGGAGGCTGCCTCGTAATTTCAGATTAAGGAAAAGTGTGGGAACATATAGTCGTTTTAAAAGAGTTCGATCTGAACTTAAACGGAATATAAAAGTTGCTTTTGTCAACTACACATCTAATCTTGAAGCTAAAATCAAGTTTGAACCTCGCAGGTTTTGGTCTTATGTTAATAATTTAAATAGTTCTTATGCCATTCCTTCGCAGATGATGTACTCTGATAAGTTGTTAACAAAACCTGTTGACATCGTTAATGCCTTTGCAGAACATTTTTCTAGCAACTATAATACTTGTAATATTGATAATATTGATAATTCTCTTGACGGAGCTTCAAACACAAGTTTCAACTTAACATCTATTTCTGAATCCGAGGTCCTTTGTGCTCTTAAGCAAATAAAAGCGAATAATACATCGGGTCATGACAATATTCCTGCTTTCTTATTGTCAGATTGTGCAGCTGTGTTGGCTTATCCTCTTTCCATATTATTTAATCTAATCTTAAAGACGTGCACTTTCCCTGATGTATGGAAATTGTCCATAATTTCTCCCGTATTTAAATGTGGTGAACGAACTGCTGTGGAAAATTACAGATTTGATATGTAACTTCGCCAAGATCTTGGAAACGGTGTTGCATAAATCTTTCTTTTTCAATATTCGCAGTTTAATTAGTGATTCTCAGCATGGATTTTTCAATGGCCGGTCTACCGTTACAAATTTGTGTGCTTTTACACAGTTTGCAGCTGACCAACTTGATGCAAAACTTCAGGTTGATGTAGTTTACACCGATTATTCTAAAGCTTTTGACAAACTTAATCATAATATCCTGTTAGCAAAATTGTGTAACTTTGGCTTTTCTGATTCTCTCATTAAGCTAATTGGTTCTTATTTGTGTAGTAGATTACAGTGTGTCAAATATCAAGGTCATGAGTCGATAATAATTACCTACTGTTGTACCCTCTGGTGTGCCTCAAGGCTCGGTATTGGGACCTCTGTTGTTTGTCATATACATCAATGATATCGTTAAAAACATTAAGTCAAATGTCTTAATTTATGCTGATGACTTAAAAATTTACAGACAAATTACATCAGTTGAAGATTGTATTATTTTGCAGAATGATCTTGATATTTTTCTAAGCTATAGTTCTTCCCATTTCCTTCCTGTAAATTACAGTAAATGCAAAATCTTGTCCATCACTAATAAAAGCATGCAAATACTGTTTAATTATAGCTTAAGCAATTCACTTATAACCAGAGTGGTGACACATTATGATTTAGGAGTCTTCTTTAATTCCAATTTGACATTTGCGAATCATATTAGCAACATGTGTTCAAAAGCCCTAAAGTCACTAGGCTTTATTATTAGATGCAGCAGGAATTTTAAGGACCTTGGTTGCATGCGAGTTTTATATTTTGCTTATGTTCGATCGAAGCTGGAGTATGCTAGTATAGTATGGTCACCGTTTACACAATGTCATATCCAGGCAGTGGAAAAAGTTCAGCGTCGTTTTCTAAAATACTTGGCATATAGGGAGGATGGTGTTTACCCAGCCAGAGGATCACCTAATTCGGCACTTCTTTCAAGATTTGAGTTGGAGGATCTGAATACAAGACGAATAAAGGCTTTGTTAATTTTTCTTAAAAAGTTAATAAATTTTGATATTGACTGTTCTGATCTTCTCAGTAAATTATCGTTCTTCGTTCCTAGATCGTCTGCTCGTTCTCACGCCTGTTTTTATCTGCGAACACCTCGTCTTAATATAGAAAAATACTCTCCTATTTATGAGATGTGTAATCAATATAACCTAATTCAGAATTCCTTTGATATATTTAGATAAACATGATAATATTTCTCCTCTTTCTTGCTCTCTCATTTCTCTTTCTACCTGTCCCTTTGTTCTTCTGCATACAATAGATAAATTTAATATTATACCTGCGGTTGAATTGCTTAACTAGTCTTATCTGAGATAAGCAGTAATTAATTAGCTGTTGATTATGTTTGCAATTTTATTGTTGGTCTGTAATTGGGTTCACACCTGTTGGCCAACATAACCAATAATAATAATAATAATAATAATAAGAATAATATGATTTTGGCCGAACAAATTCCCCTTTTAAAAACACTTAAAATTAAAAATTTTACCTTGTTTTTAAAGTATATTTTAAAATTAACATTTTTCAAAGATTTTACCGTTTTGAATTTTGTACTAGTAGGCCCCCTCAGAACACACTTTGTTTTTTTTGATGATTTTACCCTGTTTTAATAAGGTAGAAGGCATGCTATAGAAACTCATGTAGATGGGTCTGTTCAGCACAACAGTTCAAATATTGATAGATTTTTCCGACGGGGTAAAACACTTTATCTGTAAAATTGATGTGAAAATTGTATCTATAAATGAAAAATAGATGAATACTTTATTTGAAATAATTACGTACATTAGAAAAGCACAATTTACACATTTTACCGATTTCTCTATGCCCACATAGGAAGCTCATTAACGTTGAATGGGCCGTCGTCACCTGCACCAAAAAATATTTCATTGTATTCACAATTGCAAAGAACCCCGTAATTTATCATATAACGAGGACCATCATTAAGGCTCATGAAAAGATGTATTGCCGGTTTCATTATATTAGTACCCCGCGGTTTCGCTGCATCAAATCTTCTAACCAATCGTTTAGCAAAATCTCCTCCTGCATACTCACGATGGTCATCTCGAAACTTATAGGCTACCAACCATCGACAAGGCGTCTTGGCGGGACATTTAACCACTTCAACGTGGGCCACAAAAAATTCAGGCAAACAATTTTCGACGAATAATTGATGTGCTCTTCCTATTGTCTCCTGATTGTAAACGACACAAGGCATTCGCATTTGGTTTACATTCGCTACATTCGCTTCCTCCATAAGTACCTACCGTCATAATTTTAAGTTGTAAATGATAAATATTAATATTAGATAACTTACCAACACATCCACATAAACGAATCAAACTAACGAGTAACGGATTATCGAATCTGACGAAAAAACATTGCGATTGAAGATTGAATTGATCAAAGACCACAGCCAAACCTGGCAACCCTGTATAGTATGACCATTGTTTAAGTATATACAATGCTAATATTAAAACGAACAACCAGCACAACAGCAATATTTTGTTACGCTACTGACTCTCTATCCGTGCATGCCGTGCCTTCACGAGTGTGTACGAACACGATACGAACAGCAGAGAGGGTTCGTACAGAGAACATGTTCTCTGGTTTGTATATGTGCGCTACAAAACAATAAGCCCAATACTCTCTCTATACATTTAACCTCCTTGGTCAAGATCAAGCTCGCGAAGTTTCGAAATATTGATGAGTTAGTTTTCAACACAGTTTTCAGGTATCGAGAAGTCAAGAAACCCAAATGAGAACGTTTACGTGGTATTGTGTTTATAATAAAATACTTAAAACTTGGTAGCTTTAACTGACTCTTCGTTTGAAAAATTAAGTTTTATCGTCAATCATCTTACAGAGATCATTTTTGACCATAGAATACCACAGAACACTCACTAGAAGAAGAATACCCTCACTATAGAATACGATCTCCAATGCTTGTATGTTGTAGTGTCCCTATTTTATAACATAGATTCTTCAGTTTAATTAAATTTGTAATAAAAAGTTCGATACACTTTTTTATATTTGCAATAATAAGCGTTATCGCTATTGTGCAAATTAGAAAACAAACATCAAACTCAAGGCGAATTATAGGAAACCCAAGTTTTAAAAAATTTCTTATCAAATCGGCTTGTTTTGATTAAACAGAACTATTAGATTTTGTGACCTCTCATGTTTAATTAAATGCACAGATTTCAAAGGTTAAGTGTCATGCGTCTAATTTTTATTTGACGTGGAATTACGATGACGTTGCACGTCAAAAAGTCGGTTCATTCTGACGTCATTTCGACGTAACGTGAGACGAATTTTCAAAACGTTGCCATGTATTTGTTCTAACTACTTTACGAACCTTGTAATCTTAGCACCGATACCTGAGTACCTGAATACCTTTCCGAATTGAGGAAACAATTTACAGGTAAAAATTTAGAGGAAGTACTAGTGATAACAGCAACTGTCTGTGTCCAAACCATCCTTCGAGGAAAAATCTATAAAAGGACCAGCTTCTGTCCAACCGGTCTTAGTTATAAACCGAATTTTGCAAACGCGGTGTCCGTTTAGTAGTTTCAAAATGTACAAAGTTTTCTTTCTCTTAATTTTGTTATCGTTTTGCGATGTGTTTTCCGCTGATGTGGTGACAATGTCATCGACTTCCATGGAACCTCATCCCGTATATAAACCACAGGACGCATCAAACGCGTACGTACCGCACATGACATACCAAGATGTGGGATTACAAAACGACCCTTATCCCTCGTATCCGTCATATGAAGACTATACGTCGTATCCACCAGTATCCACTGTAGCTGCTATACAGGTGAATTTTCTTTTTAATCAAGAAAATTATAGTCGAGTCATCCGTGAAACCAATAATATGTTTGTACGATACAATTCTTTAAATAGTTGTTGTTCCAGAGGCCACTTGGAGCGATTTTGACTTTTTTGTCGAAAGTGGGGTTCTTTCTCATCGGCGGCGTTGCTCTTTTCGTGGTTGGAGGAATTTTCGTCACCGCAATTTGCTCTCTCACTTCACTTTGTACAATATCCTTTGCACCCTTCGCAAGCATGGATAAGGACACAATGATGCGGGCCTTTATGACACCTGAGAAGCTTGCAACAGCGGCGGCCATAGTTCAAGACGCCATTGGAAAATACCAGCGTTTGCAGAAAACCAAAAATAATTAAGTTAATAAAAAATGCAAATATGTAAATATTAATCTTAAATATGTTTTCGTAGTTATTTCTATTTTGTTTTTTCCGCCATATTTAATCGTGAAAAATTCCATTGTTTTATTAGATATTTTTGCTATCAGTGGCAGTGATGCAGAATTATTTATAAACACAGAGTTTTAAGTCGTGTAGTGACACAGTTTGACACCCAGTTATATTGATTTGGTTGTCACATACAACAGTACCTTTATCAATAAAAAGATAGCATATGTGTCCCAATTTAAATTTGCAACCATAAAATACCCTGAAAGCTTTTTGAACGGTAACGTTTGATGTAGAACATTTTAATTAAATCGGTCTACTGTTCCATATTGCGATTCGAGTCCCATACATTTTTGCCATGACAAACTATTCGTCGCTAAATCAATAAAACATTGAAGTTAATTTTATTAGGTAGAATAAAACAAGCAACTTTAACGTGACTTATATATTATTTGTTTAAGATCAAGATAGTCGTTTGAGAATACACAGACAATGTTTTACACGTATCCGAGCAAATATGATCGTGATCAAAGTCACCTTTGCGTCAAGTGTTTTCAGTTGTCGATTATCTTTTTTCAAAATTCGTTTTGTTGTGATTAGACAGATGTGTAAATAACAAATAATGTGTACTCTGTATAGTGGTCTAACGATTCTAAAGATCTTCGGTGTCTGAAAATATTAAAGTAAATTGAAAATACATAAATACAATTTGAATAAAAAACGTTTCAGTAAAAATTATTGCTTGTGAAACTCAACTAAAAGTTTAAAGCCAACTAGAACACAGTTTTTGTTGAACAGCTTTAAAGTTTGAAGTTCCTTTTAATTCATTTTATACTCTGTGTACTGGTTCTGGTCCTAAAATGTATTTACAATTTTTATTCGGTGTATCTAGTATCTACTACAAATTATAAATGGTTGCTTATGCGTCAGTGTTGCTGACTGCATATTTAAGTGTTCGAATTTGGCGGAAAAGCTATTAGTGTACGTGAACGTGAAGAAACTATAAATTAATAATACAAAACTACGCATTTTTTAGATTGTTGTTTTGCTTGTCTATGTAACGGGCGATAAATTTACTTATTTTTGGAGATGTTGGTATGAATCAGAACAATCGTCATTGTCGTAAAAATCAAGGTTGTCCTTGTGAAACTTGGATTTTATGATTTCACACCATTCTAATCAAGGTTTATAATTTCACAGTTAAATATTGGCGCCGTTTGGCTGGACACGATGTCTTTGTCCAGTTTTATAATTTCATGGTTTAAATTTGTTAATTTTAACAAAAAGCACATTTTGCCACTAAAAATCTTCATATTACAGTTAATTAAGCCTAATTTGGTGGAAACACAAATACTTTTACGACTCCCCAAATAAACTGGTAACTAGTAAACAATTTTGCGAAAACAACTCCTTTGGAGGGGTCTTTACTTATAAAAGATCTAAAGATCCAAAAAAGACCAGAGTCCTCTAGCCAGTTGCCTGTTAGTGTGTGTTTGTGTTGTGACACAAGGGGGTAAGTGTTGACATCTCCAAAAATGTGCACGATTTCATAAAAAGTTCAAAGTTTTGTTTTTATTAATATTTTTAAAGTTCAATTTAATTTTGATGATAAATCGCCCTTTGTATTCTCGATTGAATAACGTTTTGAGATTTAGATCTATTTTTAAAGATTAATTTGCATTGAAATTATTAGTTAAACAGTTATATTGTTTGATGAACCCTGACCACGCAACTACTATAATGTTCCTTACCAAATTTTTGAGTTGTTACAAATGTTTGAGTTGTTACCAAATTTTGAGTTATGGTACCAATTTTAAGTTTTGTTATATTTTTGTTTTAGATTTTTTTTAAATATTTGTTTTATTATGCTTTCAAAGATTTAGTTTCAAAGTTATAAAGTTTTCTTGAATTTATTTAAAAATGTTTTAATACTGAAGTTCATTTTCTGATAATTATATTTGCATATTAAACTACACTACAATTTATTGTTATTCCAAATTATTCTCATATGACTAAATCTCTTTTGTACATACTCATTTCTAAATTAAATATAATTATTCATTTAAGCAAAATGCATATACTTGAAGTAGTCCCTTTGTCCAGTCACTAGAATGTGTTACCATCATCACGAACCAGCCTACGAACAAATAAATAATATTTTCACTATATGTCGGGCACAAGGTCCACGACAAGAGTTTTACAGTTTTATGTATAATAAATTAACAAAAGTTAATTTTGAAAATCTCCCAAGCCCGTCACATCTACATAAAAAATTGTGACGGAAACATGACTTACAAATGTGCGTTTAATGCTGTTATCCAGTTTTAAGTTGTAATTAGTGTCCCTAGATTTAGAGAGTACCGCAAACTGTCGCCATTTTTACTCCAATATGCGGCGGCAAATTTGAATTTGCACATCACAAGCGGAATTAATGAGTTCATTTTCGCGGTTACTTGAGGCGGTCGAATCACCTTTTGAATATTTTTTCATTATGCAGCAAATTTAGTGATTTGAATTGAATTGACACTTGTGTTGTGCGACGTAAGCTTTTTATAAATAAAAAGTAAATCAGAATTAATGTTGTTATTACTTTAAATCACCACAAGTACATCGACATACTTTCAGAAAAACTTTCAGCATGTTGCTTTCAACAGTTTCAATTGACGCGATTAACCTGAACAAAACCCGCAGCCAAAATCTTCGTATAATCATTATTACTTAAACAATGGTATGACTGTAGCGCCTGGATGGTAGCGCCTCTAACGACACATATTATACTACGACACCATAGGCGTAACATTCGGTGAGCACAGGGTACTTTCTAATGTTGACAAATAAAATGTTTGGTAAATAAACTAAGTAAGTACCAATTTAGGATTTAGAAATAATATAGATATATTTTTCTAGATACTGATAAATTTCTATCCATCCCAAAAAAATAAGATACATACAGTGGTTTTCACTGACATCCGTGCTGTCAATATGACCTATGTTGGTATCCTGTGCTGTTTCAGTTTAGAAATTTTGAATTTCCTAATTTGGCAATTTACCTGGACGAGGCAAGTTGACAAATTCAAATTATCCATCATCTCTAAAAATTAAAAAAAATATGAATCTTAAAAAGCCTGCAAAATTCTATGTAAAAAATCTTACTTAAAAATTTTCCTCCATCAATTATTATATCATAGACTGAGTTCTTACTTATTGTTTGTGTTTCAAGAAATATGAATTCTTATTTACCATAACTTCAATTTTCTGATTGACACTTTTTTAACCAGGCGTTGTTTATATTCTGAACTCTGATTATGATTTTCTGTGCGTCGTATTGGTATAATTTGTTCCAATGTATTAAAAATGACATTGACAGCACGGATGTCATTGAAAACGACTGTACCTACATTCATAAAAAATTTAAAATTCGTTTTAGGACACCGCAATTACTTGAACGTTGAGTTTTCAATTGATTTATTACCATTTAACAAAGAAAAGGATTAATATCCAAACGGTATTGTATCAAAGTTTTCGAGAATAACTCTCTTGTCATAAACAAAACCAAATTCTTTTGTTTCTATTTTATTTAAAAGTTTTTTAGTTTTAGTATCTCTGGTAATTCGATTATATTGTGTACAAATTTTACTGTCTTTGCGTTCCAAAATATTATTCATGCTATCGGAATTAATCTTTTCGGATGTTTCATAGTTTAAGGTAAATCCTTTAATTTTGCAAACAACTTTACCTGTATTAGTTTTATAACAATAACTTTTTGGACCTGTTGATGTCCAATCAGCAATCCATACGTTCTTACCTAATTCATCGGTCCAATCTCCCAATAGACAACCTGTTTTAACAGTGTTTTTACCATTATCTATATATACAATGCTATCTGTATCATAATATGCCACGCTTTCTCCTAATATGTCTAACATTTCGTACAATCTTAGCCTTGCATTTGCAGTTGTAAAAGCAGCTATGAATATATTGGTATTGAAATAATTTTCTACATAGCAAGCTTTATACTTGTAATCAATCTGTAACATATTTTCGTTTAATTCATTGATATGTATATTATCAAGTCTGTCGTATAATAAAATTTCATAAAATCTCTTAATATCTGTAACATATTCTGTCGCACCCATATTTTGTCTTTGACCAAATTTACCCCATAAGGAATTTAAACAGATTTTTGCAACAGCTCTCTTTCCAGGATTATTTTCTATTTTACCCAATTCAATACCTAGATTTTCTTTTACGGCTTTTCTATATTCTTCTTCTGATTCAAAATCATTTCTCCACTCACTTGTCTCTAACTTTATTTTCATAAATGCTTTTACATATCCTTTAAACAAATACATAACTCGATTTTTGTTCAAAATGCCAAACTTCATCAATAGTTATTATTTTGTATCCTTTTTCAATTGCTTTTTTTACTTCGTTTGTACACCAGGTTCCTCTGACAATTCTTTGAGATTCCGTATGAGTACATTTATCTTTTAGATTCGACCTTCGGTCCTCATGAGTGGACGTGGTCCACGAATTGACATAATGGTAATGTTAGTTTTTCATCGCCAGATTTCCTTTTATTTTTAACAGGTAAAACAGGGTGATACAAACCTCTTGGTGGTAAAATTGCACATTTTATTAAACCATACCATTTTGAATTATATGTAGGAGGTTTGAATATTTTAGTAGGATGTCCAACTGGATAATCATCATAACATTGTACTGTTGGATATAAACTACAAATATCGATATATTTCATTTTCTTTCCATTAACTTTCAGTTTTGTAGCATTAGTTCTTCCTCCGAAGAATGCATTTCTAGGATTAAGTTCTTCAATTTCTTTATATTTGCTTTTAATTTGTTTCATTTCTTCTTTATATTCTTTAGATTTAATCCAATTGCATTCCCACATTTCTATTAAATTATAGCCAGCTTTTTTATTTGCTCGCTTCTTTCTATTGTTTGTTCATAGAGATCTTCCATAGTTGTTTTATTCTTATTATTAATAAAATTTGAACTATAACATTTTGTACAACCAT